GGCTCATCTAACATTACACGCAAACACAAATGGAATGGCTTCCACCAGCAACTTGCAATGTTTGACCGCTGGCGATACCACCCACGTATGTGAGTGTTTCTCATTTCTCAAAAGAGGAAGAACAATGAAGCAGTACGCACACGAGGCACTTATATTTCTTTGTTGGTTCAGCCACATTCAGCCCCTCCTTCCCGGAGCAGACAATTTGCTGTTGACTTAATTAACATTTGATAGCGAAATATGTTATCTGTTAATTGTTTATATGCAGTTCCCCATCATTCTCCTCAGTGTGGCAATGAAACATGTAAGCCGCTAGCTCTTTCAATATGTTACCATGGCTAGGAATCTGGATTAAAACATTAAGTTATTTATTCATTGGGACAGCAATAAAGTTAGACTATTAAAGAAAAAAGGTGCTGGAAAAGTATAGTTCTTGGAATTAAGACAACAGTTATTTTTGATGCACATGTGGTAATTAAAGCGACAAATTATGTTACATTAGCATCCCCAACATAGAGGTCTTTTCGTTTTGTGGATATAATGGAGTCTCGCCATACAATTAACTTGCCAATAGAAAACCATTAAAACGTTATTCGAAGAGTGATGCTTTCTACAGTATACCTGCCAATAAAAAGACGCGTGAGTTGAGTGGGCGAGTCGTTTGAAATTCTGTAGCAACTGAACTGTACAATGAAATGTGATAGGCTGCAATGTGGGCGTTCTTTTGATATCATAACACGTGTCGCTAACAGTGATGGCTGCTCACACTAATACATATGGAACTAAAACATACGCGAGTGATGAAAAAAACATCGGCAATCATAAAAACATATTGACCAAACCTGCTTCAGATACCTACAAAAGCGTTGCTTATCTCCCCATATCTTTTTTTTTTTTTTGTATCGCACCTCCAGCGTTCAACAAAAGGTCTGATAATTTAAGTGGTTTTAGGGGCGGACCTCATTTCATCTGGTGAACCACCTTTTTGGTATCGTTTCTATGGTGAATTAAAACGTGGTGGATTTCCTCAGCGGAGCTACGCAATTACAGCGAAGTCATCAAAACACTCTTTAGTGAACATACCAACTTCCGATTTTGTCAACTCTATGGAAACAAATTTTCTGTAGCAAATCAGCCCAAATGAAAATCGTTTGTAATTACACATCAAGCGTAATTTTTTTTTTCATCCGTATGGGCTGATCAGTGCTGACTGAAAGCGCCCGGTAAATATATGAATATTTGAAAACTGAATAGACCACCCGCTGAATCCGTTACACCCGCTGCACCCGCTGCACCCGCTGCACACATGAGCGAAAGGTTCTCCCAACTCATGTACCATTTCATTGTAAATAGAGAGATCTTTCAAATTCTAAAAGAGTACTTGCTATTGAATTGAAAATGATAAAATCTGTGAATTTTGTTTGTACAATTTCTGAACATAAGCAATAAAGAATTTGATATCTTCAGAGAAGATCCGAAGCGAGATTCAGAGCTGAGTAAAGTTCTTCTGAATGATTTGATCTGATAATAACAACTGTATCGACTACCGTAAAACAAAGAAAACCATTCTGTTTTTTCCGTACGTTACCAATAATATTAACCATTTTTTTAAAGAGAAAACGATACTGGTGGGATATAGAAAATTATACAAATGATTTGTGCGGCCAAGTTTTAAGAACAACTGCCGACACCCTTTTCGCACAAATTTTCTAATGAAAGGGAACTTAACATTTATCATCTATATATATATATTTTTTTTACCAGCCTTATTTCAGTCTCATCGATGAAACGAAACCCAGAAACCACTTTTTTTTTTTGAGGAAAGCTTCTGAGATGATATGCAAGATACAAGAGCAACTAGATGAAATGTTTGTCAAGAGTTCATGTCGCAAAAAGGGAAAGTAGAGTACATCTAAATTATGTTCAAACAATTATCTATCCTTAGGGTCAAGAGATTGACTAAACTGAATAGTGTGTTAAAAACGTTTTGTAAAATTAGTTCTAATTAAAACATTGACAGTCTCTTAATCTCGGGTGAAGCTGGTACTGTCGCTAGGAAAAACAGGCCATTTTCTGCACATCTATTATTTGTTTTCCAGCGGTTAGAGCAAAAGTGTTCCCATTTCATGTGTAAATTCCTAATTCCAATACAAAGCACTCAAATGTTAAATAATAAAAAAACATTATTGAAAAAAAACTAATTCTCTGTCAAAGAATCTATAAATGAAATTTGCTTAAAATTGCTTGTAAAAATTTTCTTGAAGTTGTTATTGAACTGACAAAAACCTCCTTAAAAATTTCTTACCTCCGGAAGAATCAAAATTCAAAAGAAAATAAATGCACCGAAATTTAAGCATTTATTCTATGCGACGGCCATATTCACTTATATAATATACAATATGTTAACACTTCTGGCTGTCTCGCACAGCCTACAGATAGAGCATTTAACACCCAATTGATCATAAAGCCACCTTCACGTTTATAGGAGGACAGGTAGTATTTCACTTCTCGTTCAGAAAAAACTTTTTTTTCCGAAGCGATTAATCATTGTCACAGTACTGTTTTTTTTTTACAGGTTTTTTACTGAGTGAGAAGCAAGATCACTCGAAAAAAGGGGAGAAGGAGATTCCATTCAAATTTTCACGACGTATTCTCATTTAAATTAGAGGACCACAGAAGAAACACACGTGGAGAACATGGCTTTGTTTAATCAAGAGTTGAACTGCTGAAAAAAAACCCATTCAGTCGTAAAAACATCCTTTAATTGAAATGACATCTTTCAATGCCTACTCACAAAACAAAACAAAAAAATATATCGCTATGATATTTGTTTTGTAAGTTTAAAAAAAACTGTGTAGAATTACAAACTGACGTACAATTCGTTAGAGGTTACGTTATACAGACATCAATTGACGCAAACTATACAGGCTGATTGTGAAATACTCCTTACTGTATTAAGAACGCGCAGTGCTGTGTTGTGTGCTTTTAAGGCGGCTGTACCTTGTGTTCATTAGAGAGCTACCTGTATTCCTTTTAGTCAAATTGTCTTACTGGAAACTTCACCGTCTGTGAGAAGTGGTTAAAGCTTGAACAAAAAAATAACAAGACATGATTTTATTTTTCTAGACCACAATGGTTCCCCGCGGTGCTTTTCTTTATCTTCGACAAAATTTATCAGCTAATTTTGTTTTGTACCAGATTCCGCCCTTTCAAAAAAAAAAAAAAACTAGTATTTGCGATTTAACCTTTGAGTTAAACAGCTTCTTAATTACAGCAAGCGACGGTTTTTGTGCTTGAAACGAATTGTACACCCACGCACGGGGTGGAAAGTGAGACATGCATTTTGACTTTGCAATAAAAAATGAAAAAAATTTGGAGAGGACTCTTTTCCAATGAGCTTTAGCACGAAAATGGAGATAAAAAACCAAAACCGCCCTTAGAGCTAAAGCACGATTCACTGTTTATGGCAAAGATCAGCGGCACACAGTATGCATCGCAATTCCACCGATTTCCAGATGATAAGAATCATTAAACATAGATCGCAATAGAAAAACACCTTTGAACATCACTCCGGGCTCCAAAATTCGCCTGTTTATATGACAATATTTAGGAGAATCAGAGTTTCTTCGGCGACCCTTGAGTTGCGATAGAAGGCACAATGAGCCACAAGCAGTCTGTCTGAACAAAAGCGAAGTTGCATTTCCCACACACGCAACTTAGAGAGTTATTTATCTATACACTGTACTCTTTGAAAGTGTGTCTGATTACAGAGAGTGATTCACGGGCATTTGTTGGTTACTTAGCGATGCTAAAACACAAAGACTGGTATACTTGCTGAAAGCTTCAAAGCAAAGCTCACCGCCGCTTCTAAATTAGCACTAAAAGAAGCACTAAGCCTTTTCAGAAAAAAAATTCCATGAACAAACTTCTAAACATATGTTTTGACCACCACAGAAGCAAGAGAACCGATCGAGAAAACTTGTACAGCAAGCAGGAACCAAAAGAATGCGGTAACTAAGTGATCTTGGACAAAATGGATTGAATACTTTGCCACTGGTTTGTTACAAGCAGAAATGCTCAGTGCTGACAATAGATCGATTTCACTTCCTGCGAATATGCCTTTGCAATTAAACGCTGCTGTTGTTTAATTTATGTAAGAAAGAAACTGAAATTCTGGTCAGATAGATTATTATGATCTCGATAAGGCTTTTAAAGTGGTCTACTTTTTCCAGACTCGAAAACAATTCCACCTGCCAAATCACAGAGCAAGATGCATGTGAGCAAACTGTATGGGATACGCAGTTTTTTTACACACACAAAAGAAACAAATTATTTCAAGTTATTGGCGACGAAAATGTTCATTTTCAAAATGAAGAGGAAGAAATTATTCCTCGTGCTAAAAGTACAGAAACAAACTACATGCCGATAAGGCTTTATCTAATCTGAATCTAATAATGGTAGTAAAAAAGATGCGAAAATCTCAACAGCTCACTACCTTCTCACAAGTCTCTAATTTTCGACTGAGAAAGAAAGCTTTTAAGCATCAAAATAACATTGTTGTAGAGTCTTCTGCGAGAAAATCGAACGCTTATGGAATCAAGGTGAGAATGGTCCTACGAAATTGTGTTTAAATAGCTATTGTTCGCTTTCTCCATCTGTTTACCACTGGTTTGTCTCAGGATAGTTATGATAATCGCTTAAACAAAACAAATGGCTAATTTCAAAATTTGCAAGAAAATGGATATGTATGCATATTCTCCGCGACGTAAGAACAAGTTTTTTCCCATCTCAGAAACAAATATGTCGCAAGAAAGTTTGAGAAAGAGTAATTTTTTGGCAATGAATATTCGATATGCCACTGAATGGGTTCGTAACAAATTAATGCAGAATACTTCGAGACATCCAGAGCAACCCGTCATAAAAAGGTATCCAAATGAAAAGAAACTAATTAAACTCCAATTTACATATTTGCAGAGGACTTTTAAAAGCGGCCCCTGTAATTGTCTGTCATTTCCAAGTCGGTGTTCAGGATCAGAGGGGCAGCATGCCGCGGTCATTCCTAGTCAGAGCAAGGCAAACTAACTCTCCTTCCTTGGAGAAATGTCCAGATTCAAATCAGCAAAAACTTCCAGGTGAGCGAGTCGAGTTTTTCACGCGGCCAGCATAAAATTGGCCCTTTTTTGTCCAATTTGGCTTTTTTTTAATCCTGAAATGATCAAAGAGAAGAGAAAATATGACTTAAACATGATTGATTGTTCGCAAGAGGCTGTGATGTTTAAAGACCAGCCTCGAGATATTAAATTGAGCGGGATGAACCGAGTTGCATAAACTTTCACCACTAGGAAAGAGGAGTTGCAAATCACGTAGGAAGAACTCTCAACTCCTAGGATTACTCTTCCAAGCGAGATTAGGATCCTCACAAAAAACGATCTCTCGTTGGAGAGCTCTGACCGCCAACTGTTTTAAATAGAACTGTACTAAGCATTGCAGTGTTCGAGTTCTTTTAACAGTCTTACTTGCTGGTTTACGCCTTTAGCGAGGGTCGATGTTTCCAAGTCACGAAAAGTTGTTTAAGATATCTTTAATCCGCAAATCTTATTACCCACGAGTTTCGAAAAGAGACTTACGCAATCAAATAAAAACTGCAACGCGCTGTTTTTGGAAGAGATAATGTTTGCTTACTCTTTGAATATTGGTTAAAATGAGACCATTAATGTGAGTTAAATACAGCCATTATTTTCTTAGCGCGCTAATCTGTTCGCCCATCCATTTAATTCGCCTATCCAGTGAAATAACTTTCAAAATCTACGAAAATAAACACGCCTTATGAAGGACTACTCGTTATTGCAAAGAACTCTGCGCATTTTTAGTCACCAAGGTAGTTTTTGTAGGTTCTGAACAGATTGTGCGGAGGGAATCTTTTCACGAATCTTTTACATGTTGTCTATAAGTGACTAATTTTCAACCGATTTTGACGACCTTGACCGCCAAACCCGCAGGGTTAAAACCGGTCGAGGTAAAAGATTTTGCAGCAAGGACTGAAAGATTAATGATGGCAATGTAAACCTGTTTGAATCTTAGCGTATGGAACATTAGTGCGAGAAATTCGGAAAAGTGCAAATAATACAAGATTTAGCGATCTGTGGAGAGATTTCCTTAATAAAGCCAACCTTGGCTAATTCGAGGCTCAATCCGTGAGCGAACCTCTTTATCATTCTCGTATTCTTTTTTTTTTTTTTTTTTTTTTCGGAAATATGAATTTACTCCGACGCTTGAAAGCCAAAAACACATTTTCCATCAGTGTACCTTTGATCTGGAAAAAAAAAACTCTTGGGCGTACGTGAGAACATTTGATGCAATATAAAGGTGTCTTTCAAATGCGCCATATCTGCGGTTACTTGGTAGCCCATTACCCCAACAGCTATGTGCGAAGAGTTTGGTGTTGCTTTCATGAGAATTGATACCACTTTACAAAATTCTTCTTTAATGAAAAATACCCATCTATTCAAAAAGCTCACAGCTTTTATTATAATAATCATATCAAATCACTTTCTCTTACAGAAGTTAAAACGGAGAAGGGACCTTCCGTTGAAGACAAAGCATTCGAAACAGGATCCAGTGTCACTTCTTCTGCTAAAAATTCATCTTTAAACCTCGCTCAGGAAACTTATACCCCACGCATCCCTTTGCCGACGCTTCCCCGGCGACATGGTGTAGAATACTTTGATTCAAAGTTCCCGTTTGCTCTTCCAAGAGCGCTTCCGTTTCCTCCCGCTCCACCGTCGCCTTTGGTTTTGAGGCCTGTGCCGCGCTATGGTGGACTATCATTTCCTTACAGCTGCCCAAGTCTCACCGTCAGCCCAGACCCGTTTGCTTATCGTCATTTCGCTCAACAGTCGCCCTTCCTTCAAAGAGGCTTCACTGGTCAAGAGTCCTTCTTTGCTCCGGCAAGAGTAACAGAGTGCCGCGATCCTATTTCGAATTTAGGCGAATTTTTTGGGCGTCAAGAAAGTGTGGACAGCGAGGATCTCACCTCAGGAGAGCCAACCTCCTTGAAAACGAAGGTATATAAATGCCAAGAATGTGGGAAAGAATTTAAGAGGCCGTCAAGTCTCTCAACACACAAACTTATTCATTCCGATCACAAGCCTTATTCGTGCAGTTACTGTGGAAAAAACTTCCTCCGCAAATCCGACATGAAAAAGCACACGTTGATGCACACTGGGGTGAAACCATTTCAGTGTAAGCAGTGCGGCAAGGTTTTCAGTCAATCCTCTAACATGCTTACTCACATGAGGCGGCATACCGGAATTAAACCCTTCCCCTGTAAAATTTGCGGCAGAAGGTTCTACAGGAAAGTTGATGTTCGTCGGCACACTATGAGGCACGAGTATAGATCAAGTTTGGAAGACGGAAACACTAAGTGAACTCCTTCAAGCAGCCACAGGAAACTCCTAGAAAATACATCGAGTTGTTTAGAAACTAGGGATTGTCTGCATATAAACAATTTGCTAGCCACAAACTTTACGAACGAAAAGCCATAAAATCAAACCTGATTTCAAATATGCTCTTCTAAATATGTATTTTAGACCATCTTCGTATTGTATTGTAAAGAGAAAAAAAACCCTTGAGAAACTTATCACCTTTATAGAAAATAGAACACTTATTCCGAACCTTATTTTTAAGAAGCCTCAATAGTTTTAGCAAGAAACTAAGAACAATTAAAAATAATCAAACTTATTTGGGTATACTGTATTCAACTTCTCCCAGACGGGTGTTTCGTTTTCCACACAGTACCTAGCGTCGCTGTCATCCATCTTTATAAGCGAAACGAAACGAAATATTTCAGTCCCTTTTTATTTCTATTTATCTTACAATGAGTAAACAGGAACTTTAGGGAGAACTTCCAAGCCTCTAACTGCGCCTAAAGAGTCTTGATCGTACGTAATGGTGAGGTCAAAGCAAAATAATATACCATAAAAATTTATTATGCCTTGGTTTTTTTTCTAAGCAGTAGTAACAATTAATTTGAATTGAAACTATTCTTTTGAGCATAACTAGCAGGTAACACGTTGACTAAATGTAAATTTTGCCAGAAATAAGCATTAAGATCAGTTATTGATATTATCTGAACAAAACCGCCGACGACAACATTTTATAATGGCTTGAAAAGATATTATCTTTTGTTTGAAGCGGGCAGTAACTGGGCAGTTTTTTCAGGGAAATGTAGCGTGCAATAAAATTCTACAAAAGGGTTGTTTGTCCGCAGAGAGAAGATGAGTACTATTCTGTAAACAAACATAATGACAAATGATAGTATCGTTCACATAACAGGTGGGTTGGAGTGCCAGGTAAATTGAGGTTGCTTATATCGCTCGACATAAAGCAAAATTCGAACTTGCTATCATAACATCGAAAATAACTTGATTCCAAAAGTATCGTTTATAGTATGCCGTAAGCTGGGATACAGGTACCCTTTCTTTTCACATGGTTCTGTCTCTCTTGAATATGTTCGGCTGTATAACCTGAATAATATGATTAAACAAAGAAAATCCATGCTCTTTTCAATCCCTTTTTAGAAAATGGAGATGTCTATTGATTTATTGTATTCATCGTGGCTAGAAAATGCCAATTACGTATCAATTATTTTTGAAGTTGTCACAAGAGAGAAAGTGAATCAGTTCTTCATACCAAAATGTGAGAGAAATTTTGGATGACAGTCCCCTGCCGATCCTGTACACAAAAATCCCTCATCACGCAGAAATATTTGTTTCCTAAACTGACTGAAAAGTAAAGAAATAAGACCGGTTCCTACGATACCAAAGGCACTTGAAAACACTTCACGCGACCTGCGTTAATATTAAATTCCCTTTCAAACGTGTTTTTATCTCTTTGAATAATCATGCCTTGCTTTGAATTTTCTAAAAAGAAGCAAAATGTTCGTAAAATCGAGTTAACCCAGGCCAATAGAAAAGTGCGGTAATGCAGATTCTTATTTGTTATATTTCCCGTCATGATATTTATCACCCTGAGACATCATAGCGTTGGTTTTCTTACCACCAAGAACGGCATTATTAAAAAAGTCAACAAATTAAAGCTGTACGCCGACGTTTATTCAAAGTATTCAAGTCACATGTACATTATATTGAGAATTTCTTTGTTCTTTGGTTATTATTTTGTTTTGTTTTGTTCGGTTTTTTCTTTTTTTTTTTTTTCTTACTGACTTGCGACAGGTATTTGAGACCAAAAATAGCGTGATTCCTGTTCTAGAAGAAGGATATATCTTACTCTGTGAAGCCAGGGTTAGCATAAGGTTTAGATAAAAATCTTGTAAATTAAACACCCTATTTTGCAAATGTATTAAACAAAACAACCCATAAAGATGCGGCGACATTGAAATACAAATGAAGGAGAAACACCTAGACTATCATCAAAAGACTGAGATCCTCACCAAAAACTTCGCTTAAATCTAAAAAAAACTTCTGGTACCCGCTGACGGTGATATTCTGCAACAGAACAACTCCTTGAAAAACACTCGTTTCCTAGTGACAAGAACACGTCCCAGCGGAATGCAATTTACATGGGCTACCACCTGCTATTATTTCGCGAGGAAGACATCCCAGTTTCGTGATCACAAATGTTGGAATCTTACCTTCAAACAATAGAGAGAAAGACAGCCGTTTTGATAAGAAATCCCTCTGGCTATTACCTCATAATAGCCTTAAAATGAGAAGAGGCGTTGTGAATTCTTAAAACTTTTCCCGACGGTGTATTCAGTATAAGATCAAGTCGCAATTCAGTGAAATCAATTGCACAGCCAGAACCATAAAATGCGTTTCAAAAACCGTAACCTGCTGGTACAATGTCGTGTACTGGACGTTGAACAGAAGACAATAAAAAGACAATATGAAATGATTCTTACGAAGTTGCAAAAAGGGACTTAAAATCTCTTAATGAGTCTAAATTGTATTTATTTGTGTTCGTTTGCATCGAGCCAACACGATCTATTTTGCCTTTCTTACTTCTGATATTGCAGCTACTGAACACTAACAGCGTCGTCACATGTTGATTTTGAATACGAGGGAGTTTTGTCTAACATATTGTTTTGAATGTCATTTAATGAAACAGAAGTGATGGTTCTCTTTGAACAGGATTCCAGCTTGCTAACAGCAAACTAATAATTGCTTGCAAACAATGCTTCCCTTCTAGTGTCAATATTTTGAACGCCTCATAAATATGTGGGTGACCCCATGCAAACACGACTTCCCAATAGTTCTGCCTTGAAACATCCGGATTAAAAAATCAGTCCTCCACAAATATTTTCCCATCGTATTTATAAGAGAATAAATCAGCACTTATTTTTTTCAAAATAAGAGGCGGTGTTTCGGTATCCATGTGCTTTGAAATGGGTTTTTAGTCGTGAACTGACCGGATATCATTATTCTCAAAATTTGTCTCACGGGCGAACCCAGAGGGTCAGTACAGCTGTTTTCCCTTGCGAAAATTGTAATTATGGTCATTATTGAAGCGACTAAAGTATCAGATTTAGATCTTTCTCCTAACGCCCGCAATCAACCCTTCAATCACATACAATTAATTATTTTAAGAAAAGCTGGATTGTTTTCTAATGTCTTTCATGACAAATAATAAGCCAAGTTAATGACGATCTGTGATTTATTACAGATGTGGTTCATTCGTTTTTTGGAAACATGAGAAATATTAAAAATTATTTGTAGTACGAACCCCTCAAATTCCCGCTTTTCTGACATATCACAAAGAAGAGTGAAATTAAAAGAGGACTGAGTACGACTGAGGATATCTTCTAACGAAAATAGAACTCGAACTTTGCATCTAGAGACAAGATATGAGTCCTAAAAGATTTCCACCACAGGCCTTATAATTTTGCTGTAAGATGCTCTTTCATCAAGCTACGGAGAACTCGTAGCCAGATACGTGGTTATGTGAAATGTATGTCGACAACCAATTTTCTGTGACTCGGTATCACGACATGCGACAGTGAATCTGAAAGTTCTTCCTGGTTTAAGACTTGGATTGTTTTCCTTTTCTTTAGCTCTCAAAAAAATGTATCCTTGGCTTACTCTCTGTTAACATTCAAGAGATGAACAAAAAGAATTCTTAGCACTAGTTAGTTATCATCATTAAAAATAAAGGCGTCAAGTATACTGCGTTTGTTGAGTACTCCTATTTTTTTATTAAAAGCCACACGAAACTACCCAAAAATATTTAAAATTGATATTTTAAATAACCGTCAAACCGGTCTGTATATATGCTCCATGCATCTTTTTCGTCAACAAGGCCGATTTATTCCATTGATAGAAATTAGAATAGGAACAACCACGTACTTTCAAACGCTCAAACCACAAATCAATTAGGCAAATGTTTTGTACAGAGAGGCTTGTAAACTGACATGAAGATCTGCTCTCTTATATCTTATTACACCCACTCGGCTAGTGCTAGTTTGAGATCGTCTTCCTTCATTGATGACATGTGTTTGTGAAGATAAACATTTGATGCGCAGTTCGATTGTGAATATCAACAGGTGCAACAGTGAGGAGCACATCATGATAACAAAAAGATTTGATGGAATTCAGGCAAGGGCAAGTGGGTCGATCATATTATTCGCAACCTCCTGTAATTCATGTTAAACAAAGATTGATACTGTTGATACAAACACGAGGTTTAACCACTCACATATACAAATTAAAAACCCGTGTTTACACAGCTGCTGACTCTGTTTGATTTCGGAAGCGTCTAGTTCGCGCAAGCGAGTACCTGCAATACGAAATAGAAATGAATTGCTTATGTGCAAATATTCCATGTAAAAATCCTCGTGGTCTTCGTTGGAAACAAACACTTCCCTATGTCTGATGAAAGAATGGCTGTACTACTTTGTTTAACAAAAATGTTAACACTGCATAACTTGCGAAATGCGCTTACCAAATAATGTTCGATTTAAGTGGGAAAGATAACGATTTAAAAAGCTTTAATCACGTTCCTTCTAAGCTTTATCTTTAGGAGAATCTTAAGGCAATTTTAGGAACCAAAGAATCCCAGCATCTTCCCGTCCGATTAAAAACACCTCCAGCTGCTTCTAGATCTAATCTGCCTAACAATACTAAAATGACCGCCGCACGCCTGCACGTCTTGAATTCAAATTTACCCATTGCAATTCGTTAAAACAATATTGTTCTTTGCTTTGGTTCTTTAGACATTTCTACGATAAGAGAGCTTCATGTTCGCTATAGAAATATTGGCTAAATGATTTTTCTCCCGTCAACAGCACTGTATCGTCTTTGTTTGAAAAGTATGTTGATCGGAGTTTGTCCTTTCTTTCTCCAACGTCTTTTGCCGCGGTAACTAAAGCCAAAAAGTGCCTCAAGGTTTTGTTACAAGTCAAGGTGGGCATAAAGTTTTTTCAAAATCATGCGATGCAGTATCGGCACTCTTAAGGAACTTCGTGGGGGGCGATCGCACCTTTCTTTTTTTTACTATTTGTGAGCATGTGTTGCCAACAGAAAGCTGATAATCAGACGAAATATGGAATTTTGACGTCAATGAACACACGTGCACACATCCACACGCGCGCCCATCTTTTTGGTCTCACAAAAATAAATATTACGAATGAATAAAAAAGAGATGAATTGGAAAAGTTAATAGTCCCGGTTAATTCTATTCATTCACACGTTAGTTTTACGTCATTATAAATGAAAATAGAGTCGTGCTTGTCTATTGATGTAAGAATTCCTTTTTTTGTTCTAAACGGAGAATAATTTGTTATCAAATGACACGTGTAATCTATGTCCCTCAAGATGCCTCGTGATTCGTAAATTTTTTTTTGTTCGTTGTGCGTTAGAGTTGAGTGCCGTTTACCCGTCATACTCAACGCCACACTGGTTCCTTAAATAACCAGATAACCGCGGCCTCTTCTCCTTTCAGAAGAAGAAAACACCTATCTTCTTCCTCAGAAAGACGCGTCGGTTAATTTGAACTTTATTATTGGGGCACAGATTTTTGGTTTTTTGACTACCATGGCAAACAGGCTTATTTTGGTGAGCGTAGGCTAACTCGAGGCGAACGTGTTTTTTTTTTCGCCCTCCACCTTTAGCGTGTGTCTCACCCCACAGGTTTGCCTCTGCTCGACTGAGGAACGCAAAATAAGAAAGCTTTTTTTTCTGGTTATCATTCTCCTCTTTAACGGAATCAGCTGATGCTATCCCTTACATCCTTGGGTGCCCGAATATTGTCGACACTGATCACAACTTTGTTAATCGCCGGATCATTTGATCAAACTGGATAGCCTGACGCCTGACGCCGGGAAGTAGAGTAGAATTTGTTTCACTCAGTCACAAACTCAGACGGGGAAAATGGCAGGGGTTGTAGGCTAGGGATAACAGTTAGTGAAGGCGAAGGACGAAAGAGACAAATGACTTCATGTAATGGTCATTATATGAACGCGTTGAAAAGGTTCAAATTCCTATCGCGTTTTCAGTTGAGATCTATCAGTGATCTAGAAGTTCAACAACGATGGTAACCTTTTAAACTCAGGCGTTTTAAAGAGTATTATTTGAATTATTTGTGGCAAATTAACAAAATCCTTAGTAACATATCATGGATGTTCCATTTCATTGCTGACAGAAAATTCCACAATAAGAATAAACTGTTTATGCCAAGTGATTGTTGATAAAAGATTTTTTGAAGTTAGGGGGGAAAGCGCTGAGAAATTCAAAACACATTTTTGAAAAAAGGTTGGGGTAGTCTGCATTGGTTTTGTCCTTAAACGACTCGATCAGTTACAAAAGACAGAAGTTAACTCGCTATTTTGCATTAAGTTTTTGAAAAATGCAAATTAAGACATAAAAATATAAGTCAAAAGAACACCATATATCTGCTCTGAAAATATTCCACTTTTCTTAAATTTCTTTTGAAACAACTTTAAATTTGTCATTGTGCTCAAAAATAACTCCAAGCCAAAGTATTACAAGAAATCATTCAGCTTCGCAGTCTGTTATTTCGTTCTTTCAGCTTCGTAGTCTGTTATTTATATACACGTAAACTGTCCCATTAATCGAGCCACAGTTTTTTCAAAGTGAACAATACTTTTCCCCTTCATTTCCTGGTCCTCCTTCTAGGCTGAAAAAATGCATCTTTGGTTTTCCTTTACTTCTGTTATTAGGACACATCGCCACTTGAAAGACCATGAAAGATGAAAACCTTTCGTCCCTTGAAGATGTTGTAAGGAGTGGTTTTCTTCATCGTCGTAGAAACGTTAAGACTCCTTTCAAGTTAAGTCTTTGAAGCTTTCCTGAAGTCACGTAAAGAAGAGCCTCCGCAAACTGAGTTCAAGCTCTTTGACCTTTTCATTCTTTATACGATGAACTGAAGACAGAAACTAAAAGATACAAGAAGGTGAGTGTCGTATTAGAATAGGTGGCTGTAAACTGTTCAAAGTCACTATTTTCCTTGTCACAATCGAAGAAAGATAACTTACCACTGAAGACTTCAACAAAAAATTCCCCATAATATCACCTTTCAAATTTTTCATTTGAGAAATGCAAAAGTCATTATCAATTCATCACGCCAAGTTTGAAAATTCGGAAATTTTTGGCGGAATCCGTTGCAAACTTATGAAAGTATGATAGCTTTTTACCTCCTGGTATTCCCAGCTTTTCAAAAGTTTGTCACGTCAGGGACGGGCCCTCATGATATTACAGTGTCACATTTGCTAAATTCGATCTTATCTACCAATCAGCGACATCGATTGCTGCGTTTCACAAAATGTTTTAAAGCTCTATATCATCAAAGTGGTCCATTATAGGATTCACCTTCACCGCTTGACTGAAAATTAACATGGCAAAAACAAAAATACTCATTTATGTAAGGAGTGACATTAATTCTCTCTCTTTTTCTTACCTCGCTTTTTTTGTCATCAGCGAAAGTAGATGAAGATATATCTAAAAGATTCAACAAGAGAAAACGTTATCTTAAAATTGACGACTGTGGTGAAATAAAGAACTCTTCTTAAAGCACACGTATACCTCGTGTACTTGGCATAAAGAGTCTCTAAGCTTAATCCTCACCTCTTCTTGAACGAACTGCATTCCTGTCAGGTTTCCACTGCTGCTCCTTCATCCCTTGTACCAGTCTCCGACGGTCAGATGTTGGACTAACGGTAGTCGAATGAAGCTTATTCGTTTCGCTTTCTTTGGAAATTGCAGAGAGAGGTAAATCTTTTTCAACAAAATCTTCCGAAAGATCTTCTCTCAACATTGGTAAGGACGAGTTTATCGCAATTTGTTCGTATGAATGATCTGGAGGATTTTCGTTCGGCTCCAAACCCAGGTTTCGCTTGGTCACGATCCTTGTGTTTCTCATCCCGTAGTCCAAGCCAACTTCTTTTTTAACCTCTACGTCATGTGACACAGAGTTGGGTTCGAGTTTATCAAGTGAGGTTTTGCCATGAAAATGAAGAGGCAAACTTGTGTTTTGACCCACCACATCACGGCATGGAACTTCCTCGTCATGTTTCACAGATCTTGCATACAATTTATCATCGGTGAGAGAGTCAAGGGAGCGTCTGGGTCTGACAGAAATCAATTTCGTATTTCTTTCAGTCACATATTCTTTTAAGTTAAGTGGAGAACTTTGTAGATTAGCGCCTTCATTCAACGTAACCAAATGATTCCTTTGACTTGTGATTAAATCCTTTTCGTCTTCCAGTTGACGTAATCGTCTTCTTAGTTCGTCAATTTGTTTGTTAGAGTCTGCAACTTTCTCTGCTTCAACTCTATCTCTCAAGAGCTACATAAAATAAAGAGGAAGTGGCAACAGTTATTGAGTATATACATGAAATGTTTCATGTTTGAAACACTTTAGAAGTGTTTCAAACAGTGAAACTCAGTGAAAGTTACGGAAAGGTTCATATATCGGTATGTTCTTACTTTATAACGGAAGTCCTGGACACTGACATCTTTCCTTGATATAACCTGAAGAATTAAAATAAAACATAAAGGCATGCTCTCCATCAACTCAAAGTAAAAAGTTACTCTCAATACATGCCTCTGCCAGAGAGAGTGAAAGAAATGCAATAGAGATCTTAAATTTCAGAACAAGTTGAACTACCATTCAGGTTTTATACGGAATGCTAACAAAACATGTGCCTCGTAAAGCTTTATTGAACTCTTTGTGAGCAGCAAAGTTTGAACCATTGTTTTTATCGAACATAAATGAATCTCACTGAACGAAAATTGATAAAACTACTGATATGTTAATACCTCAATCAATAGAAATAAACTCATCTTGTGATGTTGGCGGTTTTTTCAGTTTTTCCTGCACGGATAATGCAGGTCGCACGCGCCCTCTACTACACGTTTGGGACAACTCGAGCTCAAAGTGGTAGTAATCCCATAAACTAACGGTCTGTGATTAAAGATTAAAACTAGACTGGGTAAAAAAAGAGTAGTCTAGCTAAGAGAGATACTTCCCATGATTTCACTAGTATCATTCAATATACCTCTTCCAGATTCTTTAACTTGCTTTTTAGTCCTTCAAGGGAAGCTTCTGCCCTTTTTCTTTCCTCGTCAAGAATGTCCGCGCTAGTTGACATCTGTTTTCTAATTTGAGCCTGAGAATGAAAGTCAATAACTTCTCAATCCATTTATTTCTCGGTCCTGTAACTTAGAAGGGTCTGCAAAATGTGACAATCAATCAAAACTTACTCGTAGAAAACTCTGTTGCTGCTTAAGTAATGCTCTCTTCTCTTTGATTAGTGCGTCTTCTTTCTGAAAAACACAAAAAAAGAGTTATTGACGTGGATATACGAAAACTACAAGAATCCCAGTCTCTTCTGTAACACACTAATTACGGCATCAGCTTCTAAAATCCACATTCATATTTTTTACTATACTCAGGTCAAGTTTGTTGTAGCGCGGGGGAATTTGCCTTGTTTGGATAAGTCTCGTATGCACGGGTCAGTTAATATTCATCACTTGATATTTCTTACCACAGAAACAAGAGACAAAGATTACTGTAGACACAATTCAAATACTACAGTTATACACCTTACCTCTCTTTTGGAATTTTCAGATTTTTGTTTCTCCTCCTTCAATACCAATTTCCTGGCCTGAAACAAAATAAATATTTTAGAGTGATATCACTCATGACATGACTATCAGATACGCTTACACAAATTCTATGTATGTGGCCTGTATGAAAAAAAAACCCTATAAATCTTCGTGAAATATGAAAATTTAAAATTTTTAAGTTTAAACTAGCCTACGCAAAAAGTGATTCCCATTTTTCAGTTAATTAAAAATTCCTCCGCTAGCAAAATCTGAAGTCTGGATCCATCGGTTGTAATAACTAAATCTTATCACATAAACTGCGCTGTTATACAAGGATTTCCGGCCCTGAGAAAAGCCGTAACAACACACGTGAAAAAATTTCGTATTTTTTCATGTCTGTTGATATAGTACGTGTTCAACTCGCGCTCACTCGTGAGCTATCGAGTTAAACACTCGAGGGGAAATTCCATATCTACGCGCGCCCAAGTATTATTGTCTATTTATTAAGAGTATATTCATATGCTATCAAACTTTCATTCTGAATCTAAAAAGTCCTCACTGAGTTGATCAATTGTTGTAATGCGGCAAACTGAGCTTCCATTTCTTCTTTTTTGTCTCGGAGCCGTTCAAATTCATCAGTTGCTTCTTCTTTTGAATTTTCAACCTGCTTCAAGCTTCTAGTCAATTCCTGCAAATGAAATGTGTTTGTCATCCGCTTAATTCTGTAGTGTTCCGAGAAAGAAAACTCAAGCTTTCCCCAATGTGAAACGAAGAAAGCCAAAAAATTCGTCTAAAAAAGGACTTTGAACAAAGCAATATCAGGAACGTCTGTCAGCCACCTACTCCTTTGCAAACAACCTAAACTTATGTCTTTTCAGAATTATTCCTCATATCTTATAGAAATCTGGATCCAATACATTTAAGTAAAGAAGTTAAGAGAGAGAGGCAGTTGTATCACACAAAAGGCCCGAAAACACCAAAGGAGATAATCTAAATTGATACTCCGTACTGAGTCGATCTAAGGATTCACATATTTCCGACTCAGCATCTCCCAGGAAAATAATTCACTTACTGATTTCATCTCAGTCGTCATTCCTTCGATGTGTTCCTTTAACTCTTTAATATCTGTTACGAGAGTTTCTCTGAGCAAATTTAGCTAAAATCAAATAAATAAATGAATAGATATATGAATGAATAAATCTAAAAACGTGATCCTGAATACAAAATCGACTCCTTCTCATCTCTGCACAAACTTCACCCACTTCTTGTTTTGTTTGCATATGGTTCTGTTTTAGATTGCTCAGTTCTTCGGCAAACTTCTTAGCTTTTACGCGATGTTCTTCTGCTTTATTCAACAGCAAGTCTTTTTCTCTGGAATATTTTTGTTTCTCAGCGTCGAACTCCTGAAAATCGAACCAAAACAAAACGTGAAAAGAAAAAGTTGGCGAAAAACAAGAGTAGAGTTATATCTTTATAAGATAGAAGATAACAAAATAAAGGGGTTTATTGAGCGACAACACGTAAGCGTATTCGAGTAGAAAGTTAATAGTTGTTATCCTTAGGTTTTAAAACGAAATGATTGACATCATCGATTTTAAAGGGTTTCTTTGTATCCCAAGAAATTTAAAAGGCAATGGAAATTTGATTGGGGAGGGTGGTTTGAGGGTTTGAGGGAGGGAAAGGACTGTGTGACATCGCAGCCAATGACTTCTCTGCCGATTACGTCTGTAATGTGGGTGTAAGCGAATCGCAGAATTCATGAATAACTCACTACGTGAAGCCGTTCAAGGTGTATTTGATAAGCCTCAGATTTGGACTCAACTTGCATCAGATGCTTCTGAAAGTTATCTTTCTCCTAAAAATAGGAGGTAAATGAACAAAGTAAAGTAAATTTCCAAAAATTTAAACAACAATATCCATTACAGGCCCTTTTTCTTTTTATTTAACCACAAAAACAGTACGGGAAAAAGAGATCTGCTTTCCTATGTCCAAACTGAACATGAAAAGAAGAGGTTACTATCACTTAATTTGCAGCAACTGCAACTTCCCACCGAGTTAGCCTAACGGGACGGCGTTGTTTACAAGATCACGTGTGAATGTGGCAAAGTATCATCGGTGAAACAGGGAGTGCGATAGAAGATAGAATTAAGAGACGTGAAAGAGATATACGACTCGCACTCAATAGTCGGCGATTTCAGAACACGCAAATGAAACGGGGCACGTTCCTGTTTGGGACCAGGTGAGGTTTATTGATCACGACTGACTGGAACACACGTATGGTCTAAAGAAGCCATCCACATAAAACTTCCTCCTCCTAAACAAAGGTGCTATAAGTCAACTTTCCACCTGGTCGCCTGACGAAGACCAGCAGTAGAGAGGTCGAAACGTCTCCATCATTACACAATTGATTGTCCTGGCTCTTACATCGTGAGACAAACGTTCATTTATCTATATAAAACCACGATAAACAACAAAATTTTCAAGAATAATTCTGTACCTACTTTTGGCGTAAATTTAGACTGCGATGTCGTTGTATTTTCTCTCGGGTTGACATTAAATAGGGAATTGAAAAGCAAAAATAATAAACCAAATGAAGTACATGTAAGCCGTTGATTCCAGGGTAGCGCGTCTTAAATTGAATAGTAAACCACTATCCGTAAGGTTTTGTAAAGGTTTATTTTCGGGTTTCCTTCTACCGATCCACTCACATTCACGAAGCGATCATTGAAGCACGTAGCATGACCGTATTGGGAAGTGTCAATCACACACTGTCCGCCAAACTTGAGGCTAATATGATAATTCAAGACTTTAAAAGACCTAATTTCAACAAGACTTTACTGAATAAACAATGAAAGTTTGCATATCATTTCATTTTATCCATTAACCACTCAAAAGGAACAAAATCACACCTGCCGCACCAAAGATTAACAGCATCAAATATTTTATCCAAGAAGTGCCAAACAGTGGTCGCTTTGGTGTTGCATTTGGGTGAGAACGGTTTTATCTGGACAGCTCTAACACCCCCCTCATAATTCAAATAGAACAGGTGTCCCATTGAAAAGATGTCACGAAGAAAATTACCAATAGCTTGAAGTTTTATGTATTCATACGGCTTCTAAAGTTTTCCTATTATTCCTCTTAAAATGGTGACAGAAGGACTTACGAATCTTTCCCAAGAGCTGCAGCAACGTGCAGTTGGTTTGGTAGTCTTGGAAAGTGCTCTTATGATACTCATCAACATACTGGCCTTTACAGGTAACATGCTGGTATGCTTGGCTGTGTATCGTAATCAAAGACTTCGCATCATACCGAACATCTACGTCGTGACTCTGGCCATATCAGATGCTCTGATGGCAGCCCTCTGTATGCCTATGTCTGTGGTTCTTCTCACAACAGGACAGTGGCCATTTAACAGTGCTGTTTGTCATTTCCAAGGATTCTTTTGTTTCTTCTGCGCGCTGAACTCTTTGTTGCTTATGACTGCAACGGCGGTGAACCGATATTTTCGCGTGGTGAAACCCACCCTTTATCGTCAGCGTTTTAAAGTAAAATCAACGTTTATTTCTGTGGTTGCCTTGACCCTTTTCGCTGCTCTTGGTGCAGGACTTTCATCGATGACTCAATGGGCCACATTTACCGTGCATTACGGTAAAGTTATTTGTTTTATGGAATTTGAGACACCGCACCTGGACATGGCTTACATGGCGTATTTGGATGTTATCTACATTTCTGTTCCTATTGGAATCATCACCTTCGCGTATTACAAGATTTTTATAACCATCAAACAACATAATCAGGAGATGAACATTACTAGAAAAGAGGCGAATCTTCGATTGAATGTGGAGGAAGTGAAAATAACAAAGGCATTATTCGCAGCTGTGCTGGGTTTTATTCTCTGTTGGGGACCTATAGCTATTATTGACATGGTTGATTCCTTCTCTGCACATAAACTTGCTATTCCACGACAGGTTTTCATTTTATACATATATCTTGGCTTTGGAAGTTGTACCATTAACCCTGTTATATATGGAGTTATGAATAGAGCGTTCAGAGCAGAATTCTTGCGTGTTTTGAATTTCTGTAGAAGAAAGAACGAAATTGCTCAACATGGCTGAGCCTCTAACATTAGCACATAATCTGCTTCGCAGCGATCTACATTTGTGTTGCAAAGTGACAAGCGGAGGAAAAATCCAGAATTAATGTGACCCGCGTTAATAAAAATCTTTACGGAAGAAAAAGTAGTTTTAACAGTGTGATTGAGTGCCGTCCAAGGAAACAAAATTCATGTTTACATAAAAACATTCTGAGGGTTAATTTACACCGTGTATTTTTTTTAAAATTGCTTCTTATGCTATTTCACAACTCCATAGTTTCTTTAATGAAAAATAAATTTCTTGTAACCACTTTTGTCAAAAGGGTTCGCTTATTAATTTGATAGATTTAAATTGAAGACGTAATGAACGTTTGTTATGAATCAAGAAAAAAGAATTAGGAAAGATAAAAGCTTAAAGTTTTTAAGAGACATAAATTAAATATGCAAAGCACGGCTTCTGGCACGGCACGGAAGTTGTTGTCATCCGAACTTAAATTGAGTCTGAGAATCGACTCACATTCTACAACACAGTGTATTTTTTTCTTCCTTTCCATCTTTTTCTTTTCTAAAGCATGATGACAAAATTGTAACAGTTTCCTCTGTAAAGTAAGACGTGGGTAAAATTAACAAGTGAATTAGGAAGCACACCGAGTTAAAGTTTATTTCGCTTCTGGCACGGCACGGAAGTTTTTGTCGTCCGAACATAAATTAAGTTTGAGAATCGACTCACATTCTACAACACAGTGCATTTTTTTCTTTCTTTCCATCTTTTTCTTTTCTGCAGTGAATTGAGAAGCACACCGAGTTAAAGTTTAATTCGCTGTAATCGTTTTGAAACGTAGCGTGCAACTAAGAATTTGCAATAAAAAAGTTTCTTTTAAATAGCCTGAAAAGATCCAAATAGATGGATGGTTAAAAAAAATCAGTAACATCTTTGAAACAATGCAAATGGAAAGGGCGATCATTGATTCCTAAAGAACTACTAGAACATTTATGAGCAAGAAAACTTTGAACCATTTCAAAGTTGAGGCGTCAGTTGCAATTTTCAAGCCAATCGGAGACTGTAAAATTGAGCGTCATAAATTGATCATTACAGCATAACAAGGAATGAAAATTACTTTTCCTCAAGAAAGGTCACTTTAACCTCGACAAATGAAACCCATATCTGTTATCGTGAAGCTGGAAAGAGTCCTCTAAGAGAAAGACAGCAGTTTTCGCCTTAACTAACTAGCTTCTTCTGGTCTGAACGCACGTTTGTACACGTATATCATTTGTTTGTTATCACAACGGTATTTTTGTGGAGTCTTGGGCCTTCACGGGTTATAATGCAGGATTGTCAAAGTCTACCCAGCTTTTGGTTTGCTCGCCTGAAGACCCGTTGCATATAGTTTTAAAACATTTATTAAAGGAATAGTTTTAGCTACATTAATCCAACTCATTTAAGATAACAAGGTTTCTTTTTCACGAACGAATTGATTAAATTTGTTGATTATAGGAAGAGTTAAAAAATACACTCTTCATGGAGCTCTATTGCTGTCTTTATGAGAAAAAATAATTTTAATGGGCCCCTAACATGCCTTTTTCCACAACGCCATTAAAAATAATGATAACTATAAAAGTTAAAAACAAAACAAAAAAACTCGTCTTGTTGTATTGAAGGCTGCTGCGTTTTACCGCCAAAATGATGCAGGTTCGCGCACACTGTTTCACAAAGGGAAATTTCGAACTCCTATAGTCACAGTCTTCTTAGAAGTTATAGTGGTCTTAGCTACTCACTGATTTCAGAAGTTCTTGTAACTCTTTAACTTCACCTCGCTCTTCTTGAAGAGCTCTATGTTGCTTCTTGTTTTCATCCGAGAGGTTGTTGATAGTTTGGCGCAGTCTTGTAACAAGGAGCTCTGTGGAAAGTGAATCAGTTTTCACAAGGAATGGTCTTGAATAGGATAGAAAAATTTCTCGTCCGTGAAGCAATTTCAAGATTAATAAAAGCGAAAGAATTCGAGCACCACCAAATTCCGATATTGTGGTCGTATGCTCTAAAAACTGAGCTGCAGGGCGCTCATTAATGAGAAACATCATAAGTTGTCATGAACCTGAAAAGCGTTGTGTATACAGATAAAATCAGTAATGTCGAGAGCGTCCTGGAGAAAAATAGTTTAAACGTGAATATAAATTACCATTTTCTTTCTCGTTGTCTTTAGGCGTTGAACACCCCTGAGGCAAACTGCCCTTTCGAGCACTGTCACGTCTCACAGTTTCTTTCTCTAAGTTTTCAATCAACTCTGTCTGCCTTTTTCGGAAATCTGCGATCGTCTGCAATGTAGAAAGCGGCCATGTTTTCAAGATAGTCAGTAATTGATGACTGTATCCAGCGTTCCCTTTTGCACTCCAAAGCAAAATATCATTCTTAAAATATTGACTATGGGGTTTTGTAAAATAGGGACATATAGCGAATGTTTTCCAAGTTTTTACAAGGGACCTTAGTATGTAAGGATAGTCCACTTCATGCTAATTAATTTACCCCGCCATCATGATTTCTTCAAATTTCTTGGAAATTTGCCTGTTCTCCGTATAAAGTTTATTTCAAATATCTGATGGAAGCACCTTGGCTTTGGACCAATAATGGGAAAAGTTTTGGCCTCAGTGTAAATAAGTGTTTCAGATTGTAATCTGTGACAAAATAAGACAAGATTTAGTGCATGTAGATGTAACCACTTTCAAGGCCGTATTGGAGTTTAAAATCTACTAAATATTATAAAAATACCCTTCCACATTCAGTATATATTGTACATTTACAGAAAATAAAGCACTTCATTGATTGGAAGGAGCTGGGGATAAAAGAAAGCATTTGATGAATACTAAAATTGGCATGCGGTTTAAGAATATCTCTGAAATGAATAACAATATGTCAACTATTTTGTTATAGATTACACCCTTATTAACCGACCTGAAACTTTTGATATTTACCTCTTTAACTTTTTCCAGTTCTTTGCTACCATCTTGAATTTCCTGATTGACTTTCATAATTTCATTCCCTTTCTCTGTTTACGAAAAGATACAGACATCCTCAAATAATTTATCTCGTGGGTCTACGTTTTGTTTCTCTACATAATATAACTGTTTGATTTCTACACTTTGAAAGCGACCGAGAAGAAAAACTTGCAAGTTATGTGATAGTAAGGAAACATGCTACGCATTTGTCATTAGAAGTGGTGGAACAAAACAAATCTTTACCCTTCCCCCAACCCACACCTCGTAAGAATAAGATTCCCAGCCAAATTCAAATTTGCGGTCAGAATCTTCAGTGACTTACTAAGTTATAGAAGACTCGTTCTCGAGGTAAGTCCTACACTAAAATCGCTGGCAAAACCGCTCCGTCATATAAGCCAAATTAAAATTTAAAGTGAATTCAAATCCAAGTCCTAAAAAACATGTTTTCGTGACGAAGCTAAGGGATAGAGGGGGACAAAGGGGTGTTTTTCGATGTCGGGCATCATTTCTTTTGAAAAAAAAATTGCTTAAAAAGGTTTTGTCCGTTATTTCAGGAATATACTTATTTTAGTTTACCTGCGAGTGTGAGCTGGAGTTCACTCAACTCCTTCATAACCGAGTTTTTGGTGTTCATCACCTCCTCCAGTTCTTGTTTGGCAGACTGGAGTTCAACCGTGACTTGCTTTAAAGCAGCATTTGTATGACTTAAACATTCCTCTGTTTCTTGCGTCTCACTGAAAGATGAAGTAAAATTCAAAGGATTTGACTTTGTATTAGATACGTCTTACAGGGCAGACTTGATAGACCCATTAACGCTTTCCCAATAGCATGCGCAGATGAAAACAAGTCGTGAGGCCTAAAAATTGGAAGAGGTGGGATTCGTTTAAAGTAGTTTAAAAAGTTTTGAATATAATGATTACAGCAACCAATCACAGCGAACGAAACAAACACAAAGAGACGATGAGATCTCGGAGTATCTGATGGGTAGAATTCCTCATCTGAACAATCACGCATGGGTTTGTTATACAATGCCGCTGATCAAGTTACAACGCACACGGAACATGGAGATCACTATGAAACAGTTAGTAAAAGTGTTAAATATCATGTAGTTCTAATCACCTTTTCAACTTAGCGAGCTCATTTTCTAGTTTTACTTTGTCTTTACTGATCGTGGATGAAATCTTTTTATACTCAGCTTCTTTCTGTTTCTTCAATTCTTCGTATTCTTTAATCTTGCTCATACTCTGGTGAATTTTGTTTCTCAACAGACCAAACTCCTCCCGATGGCTTTTAAGAGCTTCCATCGATTCATTTCTTGCGTTGTTAACTTCTACAAGTTTTTCCTCGGCTTCCTGTTAAAACAAAACGCATGCGAATCTTTCTAAAGCGTTACTTCATTCCGGCAACTCTCCCCTTACATGTATGTCTTCAAGAGAAACTTCTCCTAAACAGTTATTGCAAATAAAGTTTGTCTTAACACAATAAACCAATTCTTATCCGACCACAGTAACAGAATTAAGGCGGGTTTGATTTCAATAGTCGTCGACTATACCTTAGAATACCATATGAATGCTTTCTACGTTACCAGTATTTGTGAAAAAGTAAAAAAGTTTAAGAGAAAATCTTATAATTAATTCTTTTGAAATGTACTTTAGTATCTTTTAAACATTAAATGGAGTTAGCAACTTTTTTATCACGAATGCACAAACCCAAGCTCTGACCTGAACATTAAGATCCTGGATTCTTCTCTCTTCTTCTTTTCTCTGTGAAAGCCTCTCAGCTTCAAGTTTTCCTTTCTTGATGTTTTCTTCAATTTCTTTTAGTTCTGTCCTGAGTTTGTTTATCTTACTGTTCAGTTCATGGAATTGTATCATTTGAGTTTGAAGTTCATTCCTTGTTCTGGCAAGCTGCGTGGTTTTTTCTTCCAAAGCTTTTTCACCCTCCTTTAACGCTCTGACGTACTTATCTGACTGATGTCTCTCTTCTGTTTCTGTTTGCGCTATCAGCTTCTGTAGTTCCTCCATCCTGTAGAGGGATCAAACATAAATTCACATACAAAAGATGAATAATTCCTTACTTTTGTAGTATTCACATTTGTTCCATTATTCAGAAGAATATCAAAATTCAGTAACGAAATTTTAAGCTACTCAAACATTTTAGTTGTCTGTTAGAGCAATTTTTAATAGACAGTCGATAGTAATGTGAGACTGCTTTGTTTTTGTAATTACTTCGCACGCGCTACTCTTTCAACCAATCAGATACCAAAACCAATCACGACTTGGTCTTTCGCTTTTTCCCGCGCCTTGGGCAGTTTGGTCGGTTTTACTTTGAGTCATCATTGACTCTTAAAAGTATTTTCCTTTCATCCGATTGCATAGCCGTTGTGTTCACTTTGGTTCTAGCTCTACGAAACTCAATCGAAAAGCGCTCAAATTTGTAACTCCAAATGAAAATCAAGTTACGTAAGGGCCCAAAAAAGGCACGCACTGGTTGTGAAATGAGCCATGCGCTCAACACTGCTGGTGTTTCATCAAGCGATTTGTTTTATCGACAGGTTAAGATCAAACCTGAGTGAAAGTTGAGTTCTTGTTTCCACGTCTTTCAACACACTCTCTTTCTTTTCAAGATCTTCCATTTTACTTGCTAGTTCCTTGTTCAGTTTATCGATATTGTGTCGAACGATAGCGCACGAGTTCTCAGTTTCCTTTAACTCTCGTTCTTTGGCTTCGATAGCCTTCGAAAAGAAGATGAAACATTAGTAATCAACTTTAAGATGGTATACACATAACATCATTAATTGGACAGTGCTGTGCAGCAACTCATAGAAATTTATGTAGCAGTGTTAAAATGACCGCGTTACGGTGAGGTATTACAACTCTAAAAGACCGTTAAGAATGAAATCTTTATACATCGTCCACTTTTGTATGGTGATTACAGAAATAAAACCTTCTATTAAAACGAATTTATCTTGAATGCATAAACGTAGAATAATGTATATCATTGATAAAGTTGAACGAAATATTCGTGGCTGTATCTCACTTTGTTTATTTGTTTTTGTTGTTCATTCAGAGCCTTTTCTTTAATCTCCAAGTTAATCAGCTGATTTCCTGCGCGGATTAACTCGACCGAGGTCTCCGCTGCGCGTTGCTCAATAATACCAGCATCCTCTTCTGCCCGCCTCAGGCGTCCCTCGGCCATCTTACGCTAACGGAGAAATGAAGACGGTCGGCTGGCGAACTTTGCAAAGACAATAAAAAAGGCAAACAAACAACGACGGCAAAAGCAATACAAAACAACTGACACACTTTTTGCACAACGTCGTCCAGTTCGCGCCTTCGCTCCATCAGTACAGCGTCCATCTGTTGTAGTTCTGTTTTCCTTTTCTGCAGCAGACCTTCAAATCGAGCCAGGTCACTCAGCCGCTTTTCCCAGGATGCCTCTTGGGTGTTATCATCCATTTGATTAACGGACGACAACTGAACAGGCTCCATTTCAACGCCAGAGCTGAATTACGAATATTTGACAAATCAGGTTGATAAGAATAACATGGAAAGTTGGGAACGTCACAAGTTTATTTTCCACCTATGAAAAGCAGATTTCATGACAAGGTTCGTTGTTGATTGCACGACAGACAATCGAACCTCCATGTTAGAGATTAATCAGGAGAAACTTTTAGGCAACGTACTATTGAACTCTCTACTCTGGACCCCTACGCCAAAACGCATCTCCAATCCTGGCGTTACCTTGAGGACAATGTAATAATTTCGTGTTTCTGAACCAGAGACACAGATGCTGGAGCTGCATAGACATGGTGTGTATTTCAGAGAGCTCCCATCAATCTTTTATTTCCAGCAACTTCGAAATTAATAGATCACTTGTGGATAGAAATAGGAGAGATGGCAAGACGAAAAAACGTCTTTCTCGAATAGATCACTTGTAAATAACACTTGCCTTTGCTGAAGATATTTTAGTGGGAAGTTTTCTTCATCTTCTTCGTCCACAGTTCTCATAATGTAAACTCTCCTAGTTCCTGCCTGGGAGAAGTGTTTAAGTCGGATGAAATAAATTATTAGGAACATGGAAAAACCGTCTTCATTCCTACTACAGCTACATTTAACTTTCGCATTTGAAGCTTATAATTGACATTAATCACTGGAAAGTTAAAGGAATCCAAATTAAATTTGCAAGAATATACTTTTTCGCATTTGAAGCTTACCATTGACATTTAGCACGGGAAATGTAAAGGAACCCAAATCAGAGTGCAATAAACAATTTAATTCTGTCCTTTCAGCGGTTTATAAGGTAAAGTTTACGAACCAATTGTCTTTATGTCAGTGTATTTTTTGTTTTAAATAAACGCAAATTATAATACTATCGGACTTTGCAATATTTGCTTAAATATACTTTTTTTAATTGCGTCAAGGGGAAGCAAGTGTCCTTATTCAATTTAATTTTGGGAAGTGTTTTGTCATAAATAACGGCACTTTGGGTGCAACGTGGAAATCGCAGGTTATTTTTTGGTCACATTCGGTCACTGACAGTGGAAGGAGTTCATCATGGTTATGGTTGCATCTTGCATTTGGGAAAGGTGTGATCTCTTCATGAGGATAAAAAATGACGAAATACCCAACTCACAAAGGTAGACACACGGGGACATGGTCGAGGGTCAGATATCCTCTTACTACCCTATGATTGCCGACCTGTTTGATTGTTAGGACACAAAACTTGTAATGTAAAAACCCTGACCTAATTTAGGAAGAAGCTCCTTTTTGAGATATACCAGAGGGCCAGCCCTAACTTAGAAGCTTGTTGTCAAAACCAAAATAAGGTCAGACACAACATTTTCATACGAAAGGCAATTTATTTGGATATCCTAAAAAAATTACATTTTCGACTGATATGTACAACAATATAAATATTACTGTGTTGCTTTCAACACTGGGGAACACGCAAGCAAAATTATTTGAATACAAACAAAATATAATTGTTCAAGCAACTAAGAAAAGGCTGGCTTTCTGATTTTGTTTCTTGCAATACACTGCATTTTCATCAACCCTGCAATAAAGCGTAAATAAACCGCTATCACGTGCAAACTGATAAGTGAGAATCCATGCCAAAAAAAAGAACATGATTCAATATGCCTCGAAGATTAACAAGGTCACGTGGAAAAAAGCTGCAAAAGAACAAATTGCATAAAAAAGACAGAACATCGAGTGGTCACGCCATGAAAAAAACTTTAGTGGAACGTTATTCAACTAATTTCTGTGTGTCATTGATGAATGTCAGAGCCAACCTTTTCTTGCATTAGAACTGTTTACAACTAGCATTTATAGCATAGGATTTATTTGTTTCGCCTTTTTTGTCTGAACATAAAATTTTGGGTCGTTGGAATCTACTTTCACACTCGCAAAAGACTTGAAAGCGTCTAAAAATTATATTAAACAAGTATAAATAACGCTAAAGGTTGTGCTTGTGTTAATAACCGCAAACACTGTTGAGTTGTTTGATGCTTTCTTTGAGTTTCAACAAACGGCAGCAAGTTTAAATAAACATTCCGAAAACTAAACTGCCGCCTTGGCTCCCGGCCGCCAATGAACATTCTAAAAATCCCTTTTCAAACATATCGTGTTTGCTTTTGTATAATTAAGAAATGTGTTACTGTCACCCAAAGTAAACAGAGGTAGTTTTGAAATTTTACCAGTTTGAAAATCGACGAGCTGTTGATATCATTGGGCAAATTTTAAAAACTCTCTTTTTCATTGTGAGCAGGACATTAAAAGAAATTTATAAAACAAAAATTTTCAACAAAAAAATTAAATCTGTTAAATCGGCTGGACGTACTTCTTAACAGATAACTGTCCTTAAAATTAGTTTACGTTAGATGACGAAGATAAACGAGATCTGTGATCAACAACAGTCAAAAGATGATCCTGGAGTCTCTAAAATGAGAAACACAGACGTCCACAATGACAAACAGTTAGTGTATTTTTAACATAACTCGATTAAGAACTCAACTATTTTACCGTAATCAAGAAAATTAAGGCTGCCATGGCCTTTACGATACACATTTTTTTTATTTTATAAATGCAAAGCTTTGGAAAATATTCAAGGACAGATCATGTAAAAAATTAAGATATAAACAACGAACAAATCGTAATAATGGTCCGTATCATGGTGTTAAGTTCAAGTAGCAAAATTATCATTAATTCTTGCCAGCGGTTACATAATACAAAGAGAAATTGAACCCTAAATTTAAAAGAATCGAATTTAAAACATGTAACAACACAGGAATTTTCATTGAACACTTCCCGCCTAAAATTTCTCCTAAATAAAACAGAAAGATAAAAGACTGCGAAAATTGTCCTCTTAAAGAGTGGCAAAAATTGAGCGACTAATTTCGAGGATAATTGAAGAAAATATTCCACTTATATTGTAAATTATGACAAAAATCGACTTACCGCTAGGTTCGCATCTAATGAATGTCGTTGTGATTGTCTAGCAGTCGCTCGTCGTTTTAAGGAATCTTCCACCTTTCAACAAGAAAACAAATGTGTTTTTAGAGTTGGATGTAATGAACAAAACTGACGACTTGAGCACCTTTCTGGATTTCTGCGAGTGAGTCAAACTTGAATCATCTGTGGAAGTCTGCAAATGGCGGTTACGGGTTCTCGTGTTGAAGAGTCGTTTCGAATTTTTTAACGTAGTAAAACAATGAACAGGGAGGTCGTTTGTTAAATGTAGAACTAAAGGCTTCGTTTAAAGCAGCATAAACAAAGCAAGGATTTACACGCGATTCATATTAAACACACATTTTTCATCCTATGGGACAAATTGCCGCGTTATTCAATTGCAGTTCAATAAAACAATGAAACCATCAACCCACCTCGTGTTCCAATTCTTTCAAATCCATTCGAAGCGAGTCCCGTTGATCCTGAATTGAAAAAGAAATCATTTATACTGTAATTACTCTCTCCTTAATTATACAAAAGTAAGCCCTAAACAAATACAGTTCCCCAGCGAAAATACCTTTCTTTTTCTCACTGGAAATCGGACGTTCAATTGATTGTCTGCGCCATAAGCTGCCTTTGACATTCTATTGAAACAACTTTTACGGTTGAAATACCTTCATTTATAAAGCCGCTAACGTTTGAAATATTGAAATCTAACGAAAGGTTTCACTGAAAGTCACGACATTTTTCCAAAGGCGAACGATTTGGACTCTACAGCACTAAATCGCTAATAAATGGTGGAAGCAGTTCACGGACTCACTACCGAAACATATGAAGTGACAGTTACTGCTAAAAAAAAGGTAATTTGAGTTGATTTACACTGCATATAATTAATCATTCTGTTCCAATCACAGCACGTGGGTTAAATCAATATTTGTTCTAAATGCCATTCTCTCCAAGCTATCACTGAAAGCTAGGGGCCTTTGTCACTTAAATGATGAAAACGCATGGGCCGTTAAATCTTCTGTAGGGAATGGGTAATTAAGAATAGAGATGATTTTAATTGTTTTCGGTACTTGATTCTTACACTTTAAACGGTTCTTGATGTTCTAAAACATGAAAAACAATTGGCCACAAGAATTAATAATAGAAAGGATAATTACAGCTCTTCTTTGGCACAAGGCTGAAGTATGAAGGTGAGATTTCGTCTTTTCTTTGTTACAAGGTGGGAACAGAATACTGAATCGTCTCCACAAAATGACTGTTGTCCACATATTTTATGGCAGAACAAAGACGTTAAATTCGTAGATTGTCTCTACAAAGGATGCTAGCAAACGAGAAATTGATGAGGGATATTTGTAGAGGAAATTTAAGGTAGAAAAATTCCATCCCTCAACAGGGAGGAATCAATCCTTAACACAAAACGTAATATACGCCGTATATGGAAGCTCAAAAAGAGACGAAAAATTTGAGAAAAACGAGCTTAATTCAAACTACTATACCTGAAGTTTCTGCGCCTGCTGCGACGAAGTCAAAAGACCTTCCAATCTCCCACATTCGTACTCCTACAGGGAAAATGAAAGAGCGATCAAAACCATGGAAAACTAATAAAAAGCAAGTTCTGTATACAACTGAGGCAAAAAAAAACATATATAAAAGTTGTAGTTTTAAGTCCTTCAATCGAACGCAACTAGTAACTCACTGTAAGTATAGATTTCCGTACAATAACAATCCCTTTTTTTTAATTTGATCACAAGGATTCTCGTGCTTGAAAAGCCGAAAACATCACGTAAGCAAAACGCACTGAAAAATACAACTTGTACAAGCTTCCATTTCCTCTTAATAAAGGGATTCTAACTCAAAGGGGCAATGTCAATGTTTCCACATCTTCATCAATTTAGCGAGAATTTTGAAAGTCTTCCTTTGCAATTTGTGTTAATCTTCATGTCCGTTCTTACCTTTTTCATTTCCTCTCTCGCGTTTTTTTCGTTTTTTTTCTAAATCTAACCGAACGAATAATTTCACGAAAACAATGATGTGAGTTCTAAAAAAACATACAGAAACGTGCTACACATTGACGCTGACTACACATTTAACGAAACTTCTGCTAAGAAAATGGCGACCAGTAAAATGTAAAAAAAAAAAGAAATATACGTGCAAAGGAGAAGATAGCAGGTTGTGTTTGTGTTTGTGTTTAAGTACGTGAAAACAGACTTATGTTAGTAGAGTAGGTGCAATAGTGAACAACTCACCAGGCCTTCGTGATTTGGAAAATTACAAAATAATACTTCATCTTGTGGTTTTTTGGTTTTCCTTTTCTTTTTCTTCCTCGCGTCACCATTTCCCCCAGTGACGTCATTGTAATGATGATGGTGGACAGGTGATGTGACAGGGTCTGCTACTGTGCTAGCTGTTACCACCTCAGGGGAGAGGTGTGAGGAAGTTGTCACTGTCAATGGTTTTACCCTACCTGCCGAATAATGTAGATATGCATATTAAAGCAGTGGAAATTACAATATTGATTGTATTACTAAAACAGCTAGATACAATGTGAACAATTGTTTAATTACACGAAAAAAAATACTGCCAAACTAAAGGAAGCTACAATAAACTGTATAAAGGGGTAAGTTTCTAAAGAAACTGTGGTGCTGCGTCGGTGGGAGAGTATAGCAGGTAATTTAGTGTTAACAACTGGGTTGAAAACGTAAATTAGCCAGATATCTTAGATATCTAATCGCTCTGACGAAGGGCTAACGCTCGAAACGTCAGCTTTTTTACCCTTTACGGTAGCTAATTTACGTTTTCAACCCAGTTGTTAACACTAAATTACCTACAATAAACTGTACCCAACAGGTTCATTAGAATTATTTTATAGTAATAGAAAACCCCAATAAAAAAACAGACAAGATGTCAGGCCAGACAAAGAAGCTTTTTCTATGTAATATTCCGACTGGGCACTTATAGTGCAGACTTATAGTGCAGAATGCATTTGTACCTCGACCAGTTGACTGTGAAAAATAATGATGGTGATGAACTTGTCCGGGATAGGCCACATAGCTGTTTGTACCCAGGCCACTAGTGGTTGTAACCATGGGAGTCATGACGGGTGCTGATCGAGAGATAGTTACTACATTTGATGGTCCCTCAACAAAAGCTGGGGCCACCCCGCTCACTGGTAAGTACGTCTGCGTTGTTGCTAACCCAGACGTGGTTATCAAGCCGGAAGTGGTAAACGGTGGATTCATGTGCCCAGGCGTGGTAACCAAGCCAGAAGTGGTGAAGGGTGGACTCGCCGGAAGTGGTATTGGTCGAGTGAGGCTCTGTACTTGTTGCTCTCTTTGTAACAAAGCTGCTCGCAGAGCCTCGACTTCGTTTGCTAAGGCGGAAAGGCTGAGGTCTGAAGATATAGGAAGCAAACTGGTAAAATCAGTCGAGAAAAGTTTGAAGACTCAAATAAATAACGCAACACTGAGAAACAACACGAGCCTGGAAACGATTTAAAACCCCACGACTTGCGGTCACTTACGAGTTAACAAATTTAAATGGCACTTATCATAAAATTCATTTGAAAGAAGGAAAGTGAATATTTTCTGAGAAAAACTAACCCGGATGAGGATAGTATTGCAGTTGGACTGGGGCACGTGACATCTCCAACAAATCGTCCTTCAGTCGTTCTAGTTCCTGGTTCTGTTCGGCCAAAGCTGATGCCAAGTTTTTAATCGCTGCTCGCTGAGCAGCTGTTAGCATGATAAAACAAATAAAACAGAGTTCAACATTTAGAAAGAATTTTCACCCCCTACACAAGGAAAAATTTACTCTGTTCGAAACTTTGTTCCACAGTTCCACAGTAAAAAGTGAAAAAAAGAGGCTTAAGAAACGACTTTCACATGTCTCTTCTACGCACAGAAGTCGAAGTTAAGGCAAGTAATCTGACTCAAGCGCGTCAAAATGCGACTGAGTTGTATCGATTGGTTTTACGTTATTTTAGCATCCTTTAAGTGTTCTCTCTAGAAAATAGATGAATCTACGAATGCTCACCTATGTCGGCTGAATTTTGCGTCCCACGTTTCAGTTCCTCTTGAAGCTGCCTGTCTTTCGAATCGAGCATAGATTGAAGTGAAGCAACCTACAAAAACCAAGAAGAAATCTTCTCTTTGTTCTTTAAATGCTGTGTTCTAAACAAAGATTGCGACAAAACTAACGACGAAGGAAGACCAAATCGCTTATGAGAGACATATCAGTAAAATATAATCAATATTTCCACCATGTTTTTTATCAATATTCATTTTTTTTAAACGTTTTTTTTTTTTAATTTGTGAAAAATTGCACGACAAAATAAAACCAACAGTTTCATCGCTTCTAAAAACAAAGTCATCTCAGACGCAACTGATGTCAAACGAGACGATTTGTGTCTTTGCGGCCATTAAGCTGTCTTCGAAATTGCGAGACAAAGTCAAACTTATTAATCATCAGCGTAACTTACATTAACGTCGCTACACGAAAAATAAACGTTGCATGAAAATTTCTCTGAGTAACATCAGCAATTTCTTGACTTTAATGATTTGAATATAAGTACAAACAAGTTGATTGGCGGGCAAACCTGTTGTTGTGCATCAGCCAGCTGTTTATCAGCCGCTGCTTGTATCGCAGCTCTCATTCGCTCCGCTTTAACAGCTTCAAGTTCCTTGTCTAACTTATCCTGAAGAAAAAATGACCAGAAAAATACAGATAGGCATGTTTGTTTCGTTATATGTACATCGAGGGGCCAATAAATAAAAATTGCTGATAACAATTTATTACAGAGATGAGGCAGAGAAATAAATCAGAGCAAAACAAATCTAGTGAGGGGAAAAGGAGAGAATTGAAACTACGAATAACAAACTTTGACTGAGCGCCATAACAATCTGTCTGCGCAGCCGTGTTGCACAATGGATGTGCATTCTGACGAGTCCCAAATTGCGAACTGGTCGTCAACGTCACAGTTGGTAGACTGTTGCCAACTAGAATTTTAACGCTAATCACCGGCTGTATCTCCATGTAAACCAGCGCTCGTTCTTGAGCCGGAGTGCGTTTTTAACGGAGAACCATCTTTCAGACTTTGTGTTTTTTCTTCACGGGCAGGTGTTTAATAGTTCTAAGAATTAGCGACCAAATTGTTCTATCTGGTAATTGGAGCAAAAGCTTAATTTCGAGCCTTTACCAGTTGATATAAATATTTCGTCAAAATTTGACAAATGCAGAATTTTTGACGTAAAAAATAATGATTTTTGTTTCAATCGTTTGTTACCTTTAATGCCTTTGTTTCGGCATCTTTCAGAGTGTTTCTCAGACCCTCAATCTGGTTCTCCAAGTCCCAAAGCCTGGCTTGTTGTTCCTGACTTTGGTCATTGGATCTCTAGAAACAAACAACGAAAAAACAAACAACAGTTGAGGATCACGCCAGAAAAGGGCATTTAGGCAGACTTATAACTTAAGGGATTTTATACCAGTGATGGTTGGTGCTGTCATAGCCATGGATCATATGATAGTATGATGATTATAATTTATCGTGTTTACATTTGACCACGGGGAAAAGGAGCCGCAGTTTGCCGTCACTTACAGGCCATCATCGGGTCATAATTTAATTCAGTGCTGATCGATCAAATTCTCAATATAGAACAGTATAAATGATCTCTCGTATTTTTATCATCATAATACAGCAAGCCTGCGAGTTAAACTAAACATAGCTACATCGTATTAGGGTGCCCTGTATTAGTCAGCCAAATACCTTCAACTTAGCTTCAGTTTCTCCCAACAGGCTTTGTAGCCCTGCTTCTTTACTTTCAGCTCTTCTAAGCTAAAAAACCAAAGCACAAAAACATTAACTACTTTAAACATTATAGAGGATACTTAAATCAATACTAAATTTCAAGACGAAATAAAAATGCAAGGATAAGACTCAGTATTTTCGGCATCCTACACGTGTTATATCGCTTTCAGAAATCGAAACGCCATTATAATTTAGCCGACTAAGTACAGTCTTATTTGTGCTTTGCAATGAACACATGCACAAAATTCTTGTTTTTCATTGTTTCCACCACACTCTTTACTTCTACTGAAATACACTCTAAACCGGCGTTTCACGAGGGAACATGTAAGATTTTGCAAATGTTCATCAGCATTCAAGATCGGAAGCCTCGGTATTCTAAGTTACAGTATTTGTTGTTGCTCAATTTTTATTTCCAGAATCAAAGTGATTTATGTTCAAGTTCGCGAGAACTCAAATTCCTTCACAGTAATCAACTCCATTACTTACCTCTAGTCTGGCATTCACATGCGCAATTAATAAAGGCGGGTAATAAAATACAGAGGTTTTTTTCGATTTTATTTATGTTATTCATGGTCAAGGTTCCAAGAACACAAATTCTATCTTTAAAAAGCTGCTTTCATATCTGAAATTAGCGACATAGGTGGTAACAAGCATCTGCCTGTATCAGGCGCGCTCTTTATTATGCGTTATCTGTGAGGTCGACAAAAGTCGCCTCATAAGCGACTTTCTCTGTAAACTAGATCGCCAACCTCTTCTCTTCTTGCCCCGACGAGCAGAATAGTCCCAGCTTGGATTTCTACAAAGTTATAGTGGTACGATCATCAAATTAAACAATAAATTTCACTTGAAGACTTCATTACCTGTTCGTCAGCTCGAGCCCGATCGTCTTCTAGCTGATGTCGCAAATCAGCCATCTTTTTTTCCAGATGGTGAATCTTTCTTTCTCCAGCATCTCTTATTTCGTCCAACTGCCGGCAAAAATGATGGCACTATAGTTTCTCCGTGTAGTTTGCGAGATGAAATGAATCGATCCCCTGATAAGAACGTACCCTTACCCTGCTCTTTTGAGTCTAATTGTCAACAATTAAATATTATTTTCTGTTTCCTCATCATCCATAACTTTCATAACGAACTTAAAAAATGGATGGCTTGATTTTTCTTTGGAATTAATTCCATAGAAGTATTACCTCACGTCCAGCCTTGTGCTTCAGATTTTTAAGTCGTTCCTTTAAATCGTCAATTTCGTCCTCCAAACCGCCGATCTTTGCAGCCGCTTTCTTTTTTTCTGCTTGCAGCTGTAGTATAAACGAAAAGAATAAAAATATGAGAATTAATGCCATGATATAATGCTAATGTATGAATCACTCATGATCGTGGTTCCCTTCAAAAAAAATTTTGAAGTCAAGGATTACAGCTCTTTGCATTCAAGTGTCGTCACAACAGAACCAAATCATCGACAACGATCAATCAGAACAAAGGTAAACGAAATAATTCAGCCTTATTGGTCGCGTTACTCGGGTTTTCTTGACCAAACCTACCCAAATAGAAGAATTTAGAAAAAATTAAAACGCCAACCTTTTCATCCGCTTGAGCTCGCAGTGAATTCAACCGACTCCGGGCTCTTTCGAGTTCGTTCTCAAGAGCTTTCACTTTAGCTTCTAAAGCTTGTTTTTGCCGCTCGCATCTCTCATTCTGTGGAGAAATAGCGTATTACTTAATTTTATCAAAAACCTCGCATAAGTGGAGGTAAATTATCGCTTACTTTTATTTAGTGTAAAACCGAAACAAAACAACAAACAGCAAAAATAATGACAAACAGTTTGGCTATTAATTAAAAGTCTCCTCTGTGTATGCGTGCCTCTGAATAATATAGTTTACAATTGATGAAAGTTACTACTCTTTAACTTCTAAATGATCACATACTTGCAATTCACAGAATTATGCATAAGCAGTCACGTGAACACTCACCGTTGCCTCAGCTTGTGCCCGGGCCTCCCTTAGTTTGTTCATCATTTCTGCCAGTCTGTCCTCTAGCTCCATTCTACCTTGTTCAGCTTCTGCGATGGCTCCTTTCAGCTAAAGGGTATAAAATCCACAGCAAATTTTTACACATTCCTAAACGTATCCTTTCATTTCCGTAAAACGACTTACAGGAGACTAAAGGTACTCTGATAACCTCTGAATCAGACAAGCATCATACCCGCTCATTTTCTGCTTTCACTTTGTTAAATTTGTCCTGTAGATGTTCCATGTCGTCTTCCATGTCTGCTATCTTGGCTTGAAGTGGAGCTCTGGCGCTGGCCAACTGAAGATAAGATTCACGTGTTAAGATATCACTTTTTAGTTCAAAAGAACTAAAGGGTTATCAAAACAATGTTAACGTGAATTAAAAATGGCTTTAAACAGAGGAAGATCCCTCATAAACTCATGCACCAAGAGAAAATAGAAGATTACATGATCCTGCAAGCCGTGTCTAGCTTTGTCAAGCTGATCCTTTAACTGAGCTATTTGTTTCTCCAGTCCAGACATCTCTTTAGCGTGTTTTGCTTTCTCTCTTTCAATCTGTACAAGAAAAGAACCTGGATAAGCATTACAGAACATTTTACCCTTTGTCAACTTGATAATAAATGCAAAAATGTTCTTAATTAAATCAGGTTTGAGTAGCTCTAAATGTTGGTCGCACGAAGAATTGTTCCGCACCGAAAAAAAGATAGATGTAACCAAATCAGTTGCAAACTCATAAAAATAAATGGGGCTGAACCTGTGACTTGAAGATATGAGCTTCGCGCCTCTACCAACAAAACCACTTTCTGGTAAGGACGGGTTATCGTTTGCAAATGTTCATCAGCATTCAAGATCGGAAGCCTCGCTATACTAAAGTACAGCATTTGTTGTTGCTCAATTTTTATTTCCAGAATCAAAGTGATTTTCAACATAAGTTGACGCGCACGTGTTTAAACTGGTCTTGTTCATGCAGCTCAACAATATTTGAGTGTGATCAAGAGAAAATCAACCTCCTCGTCAAGTTCTTTGTAGACTCCAGCATCGGATCTCAGGGAATAATTTTACACGCAAAACGCGTGCGGCTTGGTTGAATTATCTCTCTTCAATTACCTCTCACCAATTATTTCTCTCCGTGAGCGAACTTCGTATTGAAACTGGTTGTTTTACGATCCTCTCGAGAACTCAGAAAGTGGGAGTGCTCTCCATGTAAAAACAAAACCTCGAGAAAATTTTTCTGGGAAGAACATTGAATGTCTCAGTTCGATCCTCTTTTACTGTAACAATTCAGTAAATTCTGGCCAGAGGCATGCTAATCACATTTTCCATTCATAATCCTGTCTTAGGAATATTGAAACAAACCTCATCCTCCATTCTCTCTTGTCTTGCAAGGTTGTCTTTCAGTTTCTTTAGTTCGTCTGACATTCTTCTTAACTTGTTGTCTCTATCTTCTTTGTCTCCTGCAAGCTGAGCAATCAAAACAAATGTTTTGTTCCTCATTTCATCCATAGGAGTGCGTAACATGAGAGACCCAACATAGTCTAGATCCAATTTTGACTACGAACAGTCCGTGCATTTTAAAAATTGGTGACGACATGACAAGTGATACTGCTGGTACAAACTGAACGAACAACGCACTCTGTTGGGCTACGTTCAAACAACTGTGGCCATTCTCCATCACTTGTTTGTGGTCATGTACTTCTCGTCATCGTAAAAACGAACTGCAAACTGTTGAGAATCACTCAACAGTAAGCGCACATATTCATGTTTACCTGTGAAGCTTTGTCCCTTGCTTGCTTCAGAGCTCTTTCGGCATCTTGTAGTCTAGCCTGTAAACCTTCAACCTCTCCATCAGGCTACCGAAAGAAACAATTCAATCATGATCTGGACAAATCAGAGTCACGGTCACAGTTAGTAAATCTTTAAAATTGCAGCCCGACTTTTAAAAGGACTCCGTTTGCAATTGTTAATCTCCTTTATCTATGACAATCGTTGTTCCTTTTGGCTTTAGTGTTTGTCTTTCCCTACAAAGTTTCCTCCCACTTAACGGAAAAATTCTAGCAGGAAGTGACTTCCGTCTCTACAAAAGGTTATACAGACGCGCACGCCCGTGCATCTTGTGGATTTCTCATTGGGTTTCCAACGTGATGTGCGGGAGATACGCACGAATTTATCTAATATACCCCATCTGATCCCTTTATTTTAGGATATTGCTAACAGGTACAAACCTGTTTTCGTCGCTCTCGCTCCAAATCCCTCTTAAGGTCCAGGTATTTACGATGGAGTTCTGCTAGTGCTCGCCCCAGGTCATCCTGATCACTGAACGGTTCACGGACAGCACTTCGTCCCCTGTTGATATCATTTCTTAGTTCACCGAGCCTCTCCAATACTTCTTCTTTGTCAAGTAAGTTGTCAAGACCGCTCAGTTCATCTTCTGCGTCTCTCAAGCGCTGGGCAAGAGACGCATTGTCCGCCTGGTAAGAATAATATACACCGACCGTGAAACAAACCTTTGGATAAATATAATGGAGCAATTTTCAATTCACTGACGAAAGTAAAACGAGTTTTACGAAGGTTTTGGTTTACTCCATTTGCTTTGGTTTCCGTTCCGTGGCTTCCGTTGCATTTTGAGACTTTCTAGAATTCGACAGTCATACACATTCGCCTGCCACTTATACGAAATTAGGATCATTTGCCCTAAAAGCATGTTGCACACACAGGCAGGCACACGATCGACAATTTGACACAATTCGGGCTGTCTAAGTGACAAGTCACATCTGCTGCACTTGTGTTATACATTGCAAGGAAAAACTTAACGCAGTATAAAATCGTTCCCACATACACACCGATAGATTTTCAATTTGTGCAGCCAAATCTTTCACTTGTCTGTCCTTATCTCCGGCATTCCTCGCAGCTTGTAAAGCTCTGTCAACCTTCTCTTGTTCTTTCTTTAACCTGTCGTCTGCAGCTCTGCGATCATCCTTCAAAATAACCGAACAACAAAAGCAATCAATCCTTCACTACCCGGCAAAATAGATTCAGTGTTATAAGCGTCATTAAGTTATTCGATCCCTAATTGGCACGGGGCAAAACAAAAAAAAGTGACATAGCTCATTCCTGTTCACTTTAAAATTAAAAAATGTTATTTCAGTGGTATAGAAATGGATTACCCGGTAAAAATTTTGTTTGGCAAAAATAGTAAGATTAAAACATTAAACGACTGCTTCATATTTCATGAAAATGAGCTAACGCAATTGAATTTAGTAGATAGCTAAGACAAAGTGATATTCAAATAAAAATGAGCAATTTTTTTGCACCTGTAGTTGTTGTTTTAGCTTATTTAGTGCATTCTGTAGCCGGGCGACTTCCGCTTCTGCTTGCTGCAGTCTGTTTTTTGTTTCAGTGAACATTGGCTCCAGAGTAGATCCTTGGGCTGCCTGTGATTCAGCACTGGATAATCGCCGGCGCAAAGCCTCACAGTTCTTTCTCTCTCGTTCCAATGCATCTTCAGTCACTTGAGGGAGAAAAGAAAAGAACACAATGGTGATATCTGTGTATGATGTATCACCAAGAAATATGCGGACTATGTCAATGTTTCAGTAGTATCCAAATATCGAGAATGTTCAGAAAATCAGAAACTCTAATACGTTTTCTTACAGGCTCCGCCTTCAAAGTTTATCAACACTACAATTGAGATTCCTCTTCAGTTAATTCAAACAAGGCAGAACTGCACTCGTCCGGCAAAAAATAAATTAACAAATCTAACAGACAGACAAAAAAAAACAAAAACAACCGACATCTTTACGAATGTAACACAGGGAGTCAGTAAGGCTCAACTTAAGACAACATTAACTATTCAAAGGAGAGAAGCTGCAGAGACCAAGTCCCGATGGGTTTTAGTTTTGCATCTGATTGGCTGCAAGAATGGCGCGAACTTCCTGTGTAGGCCAACAGAGAACGTGTAGACAAAAACAGGATGAATCCTGAAGTACGTTCAATGCCCAGTTGAAAATTGCTCAAGGAAACAAGTACGTAGATCAAAGAGTTTACGGTGCTTTAACGCTCACATTTCAGTTGTTGCTGTAGTTTAGCCAGGTTATCTTTCAGTTGTTTGTTGTTAGCCGCGTGTCCTTGCATGTCCATCAATCGCTGTCCCAGTGCATCCTTCTCACGTTGAAGCTGGCTGATCTGTTTCGCTTGCTGAGCGACTTGCTGCTTCATAGAGTTCAAGTTGTCATTCAAATCATCGATGATGTTCTTCAGTTCTTCTTTTAGCTTACCTTGGTCACCATTCTCTCTTCCTGTGATAACAAAGAGAGCATGTGACGGAAACGATATGAATGCCAGTTACAATGTCAAACAGGTAATTTAGTGTTGACAACTGAGTTGAAAACGTAAACTAGCCACCTTAAAGAGTGAAAAAAGCTGACGTTTCGAGCGTTAGCCCTTCGTCAGAGCGATTGATCAAAGGGCTAACGCTCGAAACGTCAGCTTTTTTACCCTTTAAGGTGGCTAGTTTACGTTTTCAACTCGGTTGTTACCACTAAATTACCTGCTATACTCTCCCACCGACGCAGCGCCACAGTTTCTTTAGAAACTTACCCCCTTTATTCACAATGTCAGTCTGCTGTAAATCCCATGAAATGACGGCAGTTATAAAAATAATTGCTACTTTTGCCAATGTGTTCCACTTTCAAGGAATCAAAACGACTGACTGAGCCTGAAAAGCATTTTCGAGTTTCTTCTCCATTTCATGATGTAAGCTTCACTTGCCCGTGAACAAGTGAGTTAAGATAATTGGGAACTACTGTACGTCTACTGCTCACGCGTACTGCAGTATCTTCACGCGCGTCAAACATTCCGCCAAAAAAACAAAAAAGGATAAATTTTTCCAAACATCGATTGATTCATCTAGCTTTGTTTCATCTATAAAGCATCTGTAAGGTAAATAGCTGGAAAGATCGATTATTCTTGTTTGCCAAACGCGTGAACATGGTCCACAATTTCTGTAATGATTTAAAATCTCATCATAACACGTCTTGGATATGAACATAATACATATCTATACAACGCTCTTACTCAGTGCAGCCAACTGTGCTTCTAGCTGTTTGACAGCAGCTATCTCTTCCTGTAATCTTTCCCTCGCTCTGTTATTGTCTTGTTTCAGTTTGCTATATTCATCTTTCAACTCAAGTAACTGCTTCTCTTTTGCTGCCAAACGAGCCTGAAGGTGAGACTAGAGAGAGAAAAAGAAAACGGGTTTATTTAGAACTTTATATATCTTTTAAAACAAAATCTTGAACAATTCAATGGACTTCACCGGTTCACTTTTGCAAGACTGTGCTCTGCGATTTGTCTAAGAACCTTGTACCATACTCTTGACCAATCAGATACAAGTGAAACGTCACTCGTGAATTGTTCACCAACGTCCTCCCGTCCCTCCCTCGGGTCTTTTTTCGGCTCTTAATAAAAACCTTTTGATGTTGCTCTTCATGTCGTATCCAATGCACACTCGTAAGGCAAATCAAACAAGTGTTTTCATATAAACATATGTACGTACGTATGCAGGGTCACTGGGGGGCGTATTTCTGATGGTCTGTCTCAGCTTCTCGGTCTCAGCCTCTCTCTGTTTCAATTCATCTGATATGTTTTTCAAGCGCTCCTCCAACTCTTTCGCGACTTCTTGAAGTTGACGTATCTGTAAAAGTAAGAATACCTCGCAAAGGACGTTCTCGTAGTAAAGAAGTTCAAAGAAAGGCCTGAAGTAAGCAATTGTTCACTTACATAGTTTTTCTTATCTGCAATAGCATCAATAAGTTTTCTTTCTTCATCTCCTAACAAATGTGCCTGGAGAGATCAGAGAGGAGATAGAAAGTCCACTTTACTTTTTTGGTTGATTTTCTTTGTAATGCTTAGCAGCAGCTATCTACTAAGAGTCAAACCTGATCATTGATGGCCTGTTGAAGCATTGTAAGCTTATCTCCTGCATCCCTTAGCTGAGCTTTTCTCCTGTTTAGCTGATCAGTCAACTGCGCAAGAACATCCTCGGCTGTCAAAGTAATCAACATTTGATGAACTAATGGGGCGTAATCAATATCACCCAATTTCACGTGTCATTTCCTTGCTCTTTGCATTTCTTGATATAAGTTCCATTTTTGGTAAAGTGAATAAAGCTGTTATCCGTGAAAAGGTGTGATATTCAAAGAGCTGTTGTAGATACAGTAAGTTTTATAAGACTATCACAAGACGAGTTTACTCATTTGCCAGAGAAGTGCGCCCTGGGGATTCGAGCCTAATCCTAATGTCGCGACCAACTCATCGACATTAACCAACCAATAGACTTGGTTCATAGGCAACAGGTACTTCTCTGGGGGCACATAAACTATGCATCTGAAATTTTGTACGAGTGTGTCTGTGTTAGCAAGAAATACTTGTTTCCTTAAAATTCTTCTACACTGAGATATCTTGCACCTGTCCCTTAAGTACCATAGCATCTAAAGTACAAATAGAGGTGTTTCTAGAAGGTGGGGCTGACTGTGGCTGTATATGATAATAATTTCAGGATATAAATCTAGTACAAATCCAGTTCCCTGGGTTTGCATTAATTGAACTGTCAACATGTCTGTCAGGTTTAAAATATAAACCTTGTTTTATTGCTCTCTCTTTGTCTTCCAAATCTTGCACCAAAGCATCATGTATTTCTTGTTGAACCTGCTTATTCTGGTCATCATACTTATCACTTGGTCTTGAGTGTAGCGTTGTCATCTGGGCATGCTGTTCACCACTCATAATATCGGTTTTCCTGGCAAATTTGTTTGGTTTAAACCGAGCTTTCCCAATGTATGGGCTTTCATCTTCTTCACCATCTCCAAACTTAAGGGGAAAAATTGAGAAATGAATCAGAAACTGTCACCTTGGAATAACTTTGTAAACAAAGACAGTGCTTGGGCCACAAGACCTTTCTGGCCCGCCATACCTCAACTCCCTCTGGGAGTGGCAGCATCCCAAGGTGTTCAAACTTGGCATCCAACTTATAAAATGCAAGTTCCTGTTCCAACTTGAACTGCTTTTCACAAGCTTTTGAAAGTTCAGAGGTCTTGCTGGCTAACTAAAAACAAAAGAGGACAGACAAAACAGGTAAGAAAACCAAAGAAGCTTGTTCTCTCCAAATAAAACCTTGAATCAAAATTATGTATGCTAGATATTTGGTGTAAACTCTTTCAGAATGTGAGATTTATTTGAATTGTGTCTCTCAGTGACAAATGGACAATTACAAACCAATTCTTCCTTGGCTTCAAGCTGTCTCTGATACTCTTTAATTTTCTGTGATTGATCCAAGTTGTGAGTTTTCTGTTCAGAGTTCAACTTCTTCAGCTGTTGTAACTCCTCAAGGGCTTGGCAATTTTCTTCCAAGAGTACTTCATATTCTTTTTTGTGCCTGTTTATTTCACCCTCCAGTCTTCTGACCTCCTCTAGGAAAGTACCGAAAAAAACAAAGAATCCATTTATAAAAAAAGACAAAAGAAAAACTCTAACAAATACAAAGTATATGCAAGTAAGTATCAACAGTATTGCCAGAGAGGATGCCTAGTCACCAGTGGACTGGACTCAAAACAGAAAGGTAACAGTTCCTTGAACAAGACAATACACAGTGCCTCACACCACCCTGGAGTATAAACATGAACCCAAAAAACATAACTTGAGCATAAGATGGAAAAAATTCATACACTGTACAAGTAATATTCCATTAAAAAGGGGAGCAATTATTTCAGTTGCATGGCACAAGACAAGTTAGATTCACGTGTAAAATAAAACTTTTTAGAATACATTTGCAGGTTATGTTCTAAAAACAAACCCTTGAAGTCAGACCATCACTCACCACATGAAATTATACACTGTACAGGATTATATGATAAAAGTTGACTAGCCATAATCAAACGAAACCTCCCACAAACAGGAACTTTGTGTCAGTCCCAGCACTTTGAACCCTTGAAATCAATTTAATCCTCTAACTCATATGTCTTTCCAAGATGGGCGCTTATTGCTTATTGCAATCAAGTTAACAATTTATAAGTAAACAGAATTACCTTGAGCATATCGTTTGTCAGCCATTTGTCTGTCTTCATCAGAAACCTTCTTTCCATCTAAATAATTCAGAGACCTCAGCTGAAAAATCACAAACAAATGACTGTGTTCCATGTCTGCCATTGGATTGCCTTCCATGGAAAAATTGTTCAGATCTTGAAGAGGCCTCAGTTTGGTAACCTCAACATGCTATATACAGTAGGATAAAACAGGGCAAAAAGTTAGTTGAAATAATAAGGCAATTGCTGAGTGTAGGCACTACCTACTGTATCTCTGGATCAAGCACTCTAGAAGTAAATCCTAGAGGGTGAATACATACTCTCAGTAGAAATTTATGTGGGAAGGAGGGGGGGAGATATTGGTGTTGGTCAAACCCTAGACTTGTGCTATCCTCTTACTTCATGGAGGTTCATCGGAAATTTTCCTGAATACTCTCTTTGTCTTATGTTAGAACAATTGGTGATATCTGGACATTATCTAGGATGGAAATAGAGAACTGGAGAGATAACCTGAGAGGGTCATAATGTAGTTTCACTTACACTACATTTATTTTGGAAGTGAACAGTTACTGCCTGTGACTAAACTTGATAAACTAAACACATTTTGAGGTACAGCATTGCATAATGATTGAGACACTAGTGGTTCCCCAGTCCTGGTCTGGGTTATCGGGCAGACTAGTCACCCAGTGTGAGCAGAGTTTTCAATATTTCTTATGAAGCCTGGTTTCCAATTAGTAGAATCATAATTATTCTGTGAGAAATTGCAGACAATAATAAGGAGAAATACAGTTCAAAATGACTAAAATGAAACACGCATGATTCCCTGTTACTCTGAGTTTCGTGCTTATGCACTCGTCAGACAGATTTAATGAAAAACAATGTTAATTTAATGAAAAATGTTTTTCATTAAATCTGTCTGACAAGTGCATAAGCACGAAACTCAGAGTAACAGGGAATCATGTGTTTCATTTTAGTCATTTTGAACTGTACTTCGCTCTACACTCGTGTGTATTGAGCACTTTCCAAAAGCATTTACTACTATTTCCCACAATTAAGGAGAAATACATATAGTCTCAACATCAAGTTAATGAAGGGTCCAATACTACTTACACTTGCAAGTCTGTTATTTGCAATGTGAAAAGCCTGTAGTTCTCTAAGCTTCTTGAAAACAGGAGCTGGTAAAGTTTCAATCAAGTTCCCATTTAGATTCAAAACAGTCAGATGTACCAGACAGTCAACACCTTCCATCTTTGAAATACGGTTGTTGGCCAAGTGAAGTTCTCTGAGCGGTGTTAAATGATCCAGCTTTTCTATCTTCTCAATCATGTGGTTGTTCAGGTTCAAATAAATAAGTTTCCTAAGACTTTCCAAGTTTTCAATGTACTGAATAGAAACAAAAAGGTATACAGCTAATTATTTCATACTTTTTATTATTTTTGTTGTATTCTGTCAAGTCACTATTTCAATTACAGTTCTGCATTAGGTTATCTCTGGGAAAAAAACTGCATAAACACTCATGTGTCTTTTGGGATCTTTGTGATATTCTATCAGCTAGGACCTAATTTAGAAGATCTTTAATTCAAGAGACACTGTACTACCACAAGCACATGTTAACACAATTACACGTACACTGAGACACTCAGAATATCTAAACCCTTCAACCTCTAAGGGTGACTGGCATCTAGTTTTTCCTTACAAAATACACATTAAGGTCATGGAAACAAAGGAAATTAACACCATGCAGAAAAAGAAGCTCTTGATTACTTAACAAATTCTCCCTGTCAGCACCTTAGAAAATGTATAGAGAACAGTATGGAGAATATAGATACTGATGTTAGGGTGTAAAGGATTAAAGCATATCAAAAGGAAGAAAGGATGTTAAGAAGATTGAAAGTGCTCTAGTATGCTGATTTTTTTACATATGATTTTTCCAGATATGTACCTTAATTTTCTTGTTGAGGTCCTTTCCTAATGTTACATGTAAAGATGTTACTTGGGAAATATTCTCCTCTTTTGTTAATCTCTTGATCAGGTTCTCTGTTAAATAAGCCACACCAGATTTGGATTGGCTCGTCACATCCCTGGTTGGAGGCTCCTCAGGATCTGAAATAGAAGTGATAAAAATACATTTTTATTCCTTCATACTGACCCACTAAAAATAAAGGATAAGTGCAGTTGTTAGCCCTTATCCTGTCCAACAATAAATAAAAATACAAACTGGGAAATCAGTCTGCAAAAACACATGATCAATCAGTCAATTAAACCAGCCAACCAACAACCTATACAAGAAATAAATCACACAATCTGTAGGGAAAGTCAACTGGCTTCAAAAAGTTAAGTCTAATTGGATTTTTAGATGCTCAATTATTTCTTCAGAAGGGGCATAAATTTGACAACACCTCTTAAAGATTGGCTCTCCTAGAGATACTGCTTAAGCCAGGGGTTTCAATAACTTTTTTCATACAGGGCTGCCATTGGTGAAATAGTGGGCAGCTGTGCAGGGAAAAACCCTAACACAAGATCCTGCTTACAAGCCAAAACAAACCGTGATTAGAGGTCTCATAAGTGACAATAAACTGCCGGCAACCAGCATTTATTGAAATGTCTGCTAAAGTATTAAGCACTGTTTGTGTCTGTGCAGGTTTTATTTCTTTCCATTCCCATTTCCCATGTACTATTCTAATTTTTCGCCATTGATTTTTTTATACTTTCAATACATGCCTAGAGGAGCATAGTAACAATGTAATTAATTAAGTGTCATTTTTTCTCAGAAGCCACGTTAAAAATCAACAGCAGTAATTAGCAAGCTAAGAAAAAATGGATTGGTAGTTTTAAAAAGGAATTTTCAATATCTAGGCGACCCCTTAACCCAGTTTAATCGACTCTTGATGATTTATCTTCTACGACATTCTCACTAAGATAAATCCCTTAACTTCACTTAAATAATAACTTAACTCAAAATATAAATGTAGGATAATTATATCACAGGAAAATATTATTCGCCGCTGTGCTTATTCCATGCGCAGCCGAAGACTTCATAGCAAAATAATACACAGTATGATAGTGAACACTTCTCGTGATTACTTATAAACTGGTGGATAATAAGTAAAAACACACAAGTTGAGATGTAAAGTAAATACAAATCTTTTACTACATGGTGCATAAAAGAGCCCCTCACCTGGTACATATGCACTAAGCACGTCCATCTCACCCACCGCTTCCTCTTGTTTGTCATGCCTTGTGTAACTTCTTCCACTATTCACGGTCAATTTTGGGTTTTGTCCATTAGGAGATGGTAGCTTGCGACCTTTAGATGACTTTGGAGTAGAATCCATACTTTCCAGAGTTTTCATGGAAAGCCACGCCGAAACAGAGCACGTTGCCAAGGGGCTGTCAAGAATCAAGCGGTTGGTTATCTCTTTTCGACACAGAAGTCATCGATTTGCTGTCATGTACTTGTATGAGAGAGAAGTTGTCTTCAAAATCTTCTAGCTAAACAGCTGAAGATCGCGGCGAAACAACGCCAAGTAGTTGTCAACAAAATGAAATATTCATCCGCGGAGTGTCAAGTGAGCATCAACTATCCAATGCGCTGCGCGGGTTTTTCAAATATCATTAAAATACAAATTTCTTGATCTTCACGATCCAGTACTGTTCTATGCCAGAATACAACTTATCAATCCATTTTACCTACCAAAATGACCACTTTGTATCTAAGGGATCGCTAACAAGCATCGATGGGCAGCGGTAGACTGAGACAATCCTGTCTAGGGAGGGGAAGGGAGATAAGTCACCATCCGAAGTTAAAATTACAATAATAATAATAATTAATAATAATCAAACAAAGGACGATAGAGATCAATTTTTGGATAGTTTTTTTTTTTCAGGACCATTCTGATATACATCATTCCAACAGGGAAGGGCAGTGGTTTATTTTTTTTCTCAAGGCTTGTCAATGTTCACTTTTAATAAATACAGTAGCAAGCTTGCCATAAACCAACATTCACATAAATAAACAAAAAACCAACAACAGCAACTGGAAGCACACTCATAAAACATAAGACATTTCACTCTAAAGTAACAAGTTTTTATTTCCCTATTACAATACAGCTTTTTAAAAGAGAAAAGAAAAAACCACTTTAGTTAAACATCCTTCACGCTGATCATGGTTGATGACTAAATATCATGACTTCAGGGATATTTCCAGACAATGGAGGGTATTCCAGGCAGATCAAATCCCACTTAGTCATAAGCACTGATAGATTTGCATTCAGCACTTGTATAAGAACTCGAAGGGTTTCGTTATCTCTTCTTTTTTGCCCTTTTGCCTTCACCTGCAAACATCAAAAGCAATGACAAAAAAAAGTGCTGGTTATGATAATATGTATAAAATTGAGTTGAAGCCAAAACGCATTTCGGTTGATGGTCATAACTTACATAACATAAATACAAAGTGAGAGGTGTCAAGAGAAACTTGATGCATTTACTTTTTGAATCCTCTAGAAGTACTACTCACCCTTTTTAGGAGGACCTTTTCCTCTTGCTTTCCGTTTTGCTGCCATTTCTTCTTGGAAATTCTAGCAAAATATCAATAAACACGATCTTCAAATCTAGCTGGCTTTTTGATCAGACAAAAGGGAATTTCTCTTGTAGGATTTTAGCACCACCTCAACTATCTCCCTCCATCGGCCTCAATAATGACAAATATTTAGAACATTTTCCATTGAAGTTCACTATTCATGGTGCTGTAAATAATCTTCACAAGGAAGGGTAGATCTTGATTTTAAACTTACCAGATACTGATCGCTATAAAATCCATAATGTCTGAGTCTAAAAAGGAGACTTTGGAACTTCTTTATAGGGGGATAATAAGTAGTAAGGCTATCTGCCAAGGGTTTCTGGGCAAAATGTTCCACAATTTTGTAGGATCTAAACAGAAAAAAAGCAACGGTTGTATTTCAGCCTCTTTCAAATGCCAACGATGCAAAAGTATGTTGGGACAAACTTAACTTACTTTGGAGTTACTTGACGAGTCAATTCACCAAAAATCCTAGCTCTCAATAGAGCCATTTTTCTTACGTATTTCACACTCATATTGATTTAAAATTCAGAGGCAAATCTCGTAAAAATATTCTCTTGCAACGAGCGTTCGAGGGTGCCATACTCATTCTAGAAGGCCGCCATGTTATTGGAAGAGCGAACCTGGATCGACAGCTTAGTAGCCTGGTCAACAAATTCAATATGTCCGCCGAAGAGGTCGTAGTAACAGGTGACGATTAGAGGAACGTACAAACAAAATGAGTGCAGCTAGGCCTTTAATACGAAATTCGGCCACATTAATTTTAGCTGCTAGAAACAGCCAACTTAAGAGCGCCTTTGACTGGAGGGTCTTGTTACTGGAAAGAGCCGCTAAAAGTGCATTTATGGTAAACTTGACAGGGTATAACCCCCGTAGCCCCTGTGACTCGTGCTAATTTTTGTCTCAGTTGTATCTACTATAAGCTGAATTTATGCTTCTCTAAACTCATTTTTTCTTCTCCTTCATCTAAAGCCAAGTATGTATGTTTTCCCTGGTGGTATAATCGACAAAGCTGACTTTTCTAATGACTGGATGGAACTATTTAAAGAGTCCTTCACTAAGTTTGGCACAAACTTCACATCCCTTGTTGATATTCAAGGACCACGCCCACCTGTGGTGAAGACATCTGGACCTACAGGTTTACCAAGTGATATCGCGTTAAGAATTTGTGCCATCCGAGAGACATTTGAAGAGTCTGGCGTTCTTTTATTAAAGAGCTTCTCTTCTGATAAACAATACGAAAATCTTGAAATAGATAACGTTCGGAATTGGAGGAAAGAAGTGCATGCAGATGCCTCCGTGTTTTTCACTATGTGCAGGTGAGGGTTGTGAAGAAATGAAACTGCATAAATGTTTCAAGTTAAAATTTCTTGTAAATTTCTGGCGAGATTTAAATGGGTAAATTCCTCCAAGTTTGAACTGGTTTCATGCTTAGGACCACTGTTGGAAGTTTTTCCCCTTCCAAGATTTTCCCATTTGTCTCTCTCTCTGCTCACTTTCTTTAAATTCTCTTATCTCTATCTTTTTTCTCCTTAAAATGTTTAGGTTCTCTTTTTTCCTAAATTATCACTCTTTTATCTATTAATCCCATTAGGAAATTTAAATGTGTTCCTGATGTGTGGGCCCTGAGTGAGTGGTCAAACTGGCTGACACCTGCTCATTTACCCAGACGATATGACACAATGTTCTATATTGCCTTTCTTGATGAGGAACCATTAGCACTCCATGATGACAAGGAGATGACTCACTCAAAGGTGATTTACACATGAGACCTTTCTGCCAACCTTTCCACACACAAATTGATATGATTGAATTGTCTCCTTACTTAAACGTCTTGAAATTTTCTGTTTTTATAAGAACTCTTGACCTTGTAAAAGGATCATAGTGTGTTGTCTTCACATACAACTGTGAAACCACAATACTACTCTGACTCAGGGTGATCGAAAAAGCAGAACAAAGAAAAAAATTGAATAAAGATAAAAGACTGATAATAATTAAGAGGCAATGATGATGATATGATTAAGTCTTGCATAGGATACACCCACTAGGATGCTTGTTGGTCAAAATCTGCAAGCAAAATAAATGCTCAGAGATGATGCACTGAAAATGTGGTGTTTAAGGTGCCTTATCTCTTTACATTACCATTGAAAGCTCAAGATAAAATGTTGACATGATGTTGTTATTTTTCTTAATGTTTTTAGCAAACAATATATATTTTTTTAACAGTGGATGATTCCAGCTGAAGCTGCTGCAAAGTTTATGGCACGCAAGATTAAGATTGGATTCCCTCAAGTTTATGAGCTGTTAAGGTTTTGTCGGTAAGCGTAGTTTGTCAGAAAAATATTGATCTTTCAGTGGCCTTTTAAATTGACCCCATTGTCAACTTCATGACCATCAGCAAATAACTCAAACCAAACACAAAATGACTTTATGCAGATTTCCAAAGTGGGAGGACTTTCAATCTTTTCAGCAAAACCGTGCTTCAGATGGATGTGAACAATGGCTTCCTATCATAACGCAGTGTGTTGATGGCACTCTGGTGAGGGAAATCTGTTTTCCTTTTTTCCTTTTTAATTAAACTAAAGAAAATCATATTTTTGAGTGCCAGGTGGTACCCACATTAAACCAGCTCCAAGTATGAGGTTTAATAGCCTGAAGATTTGCGCATTGCACTTTTTAAATGTGTCTATCCACTCAAATGTATAGTTGGATTCGTTTGGGAATATGTGTAAAAAAATGTGCATCGTTTCAAAACGAAGTTTGTTCAGGTGGATCTGCATCACTTTGTTCATGCATACTGTCCCAGGTTTGTTTTTTGGAAACAGTATCATGAACACTCATAGCTAATGCTGAAAAACTTCAAGCAACCCACTTGTATCAAAATTTCAAAGTTCGTTGATTGTCTAAAACCCCAGTCTAAGTCAAAGTTCATTTGAATTACCTTTTCCGTTGTTCATCAACTACTTAAGGTGATAAGTTTGATTAAAAAGCTGACATTTTGAGCATCATTCCTGTCTGGAGCCAAATTTTACTTTCTCGCTGGTGATGCACAGTAATTTAACTAGATAAAAATAAACTTGATCACTTTCAAACGGATTATTTTACCATTTCAGGTTGTATTTCCACATGATGATCTTTATCCATCTTTGAAAAAGAGAGTCATGGAAGAATTAACAAAAAGTACAACAGGACAAATTTCACTTTTTAATCAATCAGAGACACTAGCGCAGTTAAATGCAAAGGGAACAAATTTTAATCGATTGTGCCTCGAGTCCGGTGTTCCATGCAACATGATGATTAATGTGCAACTTCCTCATGGACAGTGCTTACCAGTGGTGGATTTTGAAAGGATTAATGAACTTGCTGGAGACTCAGTTGAGTCACATCTCTGAACACAATGGATTTCTAGTCTAAAAAAGATCGACCAGTAGAATTTTGATATTGAGTTCAGCAGGATTAAACGGCATTTAGTAAGGAGAGTCTAAGAACCGCGTAAAGGAAAAAAAAAGTGAATTTGCCCGCAAAATTTACTCGGAAATCTTTGCGCAAAACCCTTTCAAAGGTTACATACTGAAACACGTCGATGCATGGTACTAAAGACTGCGACACATCCAAGAATGTGTTCTTCCTGACATTCAAATGAAATCGAAGGTAATTAACCTTTGTTCTTCCCCTGCCACTAAAACGGTGAATTTTATACCAGGACGTACCACTGAAATGGATGTAAAAGATCTTTTAGGCCATGATATAACACTTGATATAAAAGAACACATTTCTTCACCTGCGCGAAAGTATGAGGCCTTAACCCTTAAACCCTTAAGAGTGACTAGCATCCAATTTCTCCCTACAATATCACGGCCGTTAACTAACGGCGTAAAATCTCTAAGTATGTATATATACCGACTGGAAAAATTTACGCCGTTAGTTACTGGCGTAAAATCTTACATATATACGCTACTGACTGGAAGAAATTGCGCCGTTGTTACTGGCGTAAAATCTAACATATATACATTACCGACTGAATAGAATTACGCCGTTAGCTATTGGCGTAGAATCTTCCCTCACTAACGTTGCTGATTTGCGTCAGGCGACAAACATGTAGATTATGTTTAGCATAACATTACGGCTGTGCTCATGAATCTTTTCTCTCTCTTTCTTTATTTTACATTTCTGACATTTTTTTTGTCGTTGTCGTGCGACAACTGAACACCGCGACGCTACGCGGTGAGTACGAACAGAAAACTAGCTACAGACGTTAGACTTTACTTCTTCGTTTTCTTCCTTTGGCTTGCCTTCCAGAAAAAGGCCAGAAAGCGAAAACGACACCAGGAAACAACCTTGACGCGGCGAAGTTTGCCTGTTTGAATTCGTCGTGACGATATTTATGTCGAGAATAATTTAGAACCTTAACCGGCCAAGGGACCCAAACCCCCCCCTGATTTGTTTCGCACGGATCGTGTTTATATCAGCATGCTTCTAATAAACATCACATATACCATGATACCTGACATATAACACCTGGTTAACTCAAATGTAAATCACATTTTGGAAGAGTTTAACTAATGGAATGGTTCGTGGTTTCAATCTGATCCCCGCGTAAAAATATGGTTAATGGAGCATCAGCAACGTTTGACGGCTTTTCATGTCTACGTGTCAAAAAATTTTAACAAAATAGCTTCCATGGTGTAAGTGCGTCTGGTCAAAATGTGGTACGAAAAAAAAAAAAGGGGCCACGAAGTGCAGCTGAGTGTTTCACTGATATTCATTGCCACAGACGCACAACAATGTAGAATCTATCTGTTTTGTGCTGTCAGAGGTGCCATCATATTTGCACCTGTCCTCCAATGAGTGAGAAGGCAAAGTTTGTCCCTTCATAATACCGTAAAATATTCCGGTTGTAAGCCTTGGGCTTACACACTTCGTAAGAGGTTTTGGCGAAATGAGCCACAGCAGTGTTGATGAAAATACTTTTTCAAAAAGCTAATTTTTAATTAAACTTTCAAGCCTCATTGTATATCGAAGACATTTAAATTTTTGGAACAAAATCAAAACTTAACAACGTGAACGTAACCGGAACGCAACAAACCGGAAGTTAAAAATTCTAATGTCCAGTTCACGGCGGCGAGGCTTTCTGCACTTAATTCTCTCAGTTAATTTGACGTCATCTTAGTTTACCGAGTGATCTGGCTATATACTTCGAACTCAGCGCCATCATCATCATAAACGTCATTGTCTGAGTCATTACTCTCGAGATGAAACTCTACATCATCTTCAAGGACTTCATCAAGTGAAGGCATCTTGTAGTCGGAAATCCCTTCGATGTTAATTTCATTATTTTCCGATCAATTAAGATCCAAAGAAATTCCGCATTTCTTGAAGCTTCTTACGATGACATCTTTGTACTAACTCACTTCCTGCCACACTTTACCCACCCACCTGGTCGGAAGAACTCCCCTGTCTGATGCAGTCAGTTTGCCTTCAGTATACAAGTGCAAATTTTGTGTTCGAAGTAGTACAGGGTTCTGCAAAAGTACTACTTTATATTAAGAAAACAAGGAAAAGTAGAGGGGGCTAATATCCGGAGTGGGCTCATAACCGGATGAATATTTTTGTTTCCAAGTACCGGTAGATGAGCCTATAACCAGGGGGGCTTATAACCGGAATTTAACGGTATACATGAAAAAAAATTACGCGCGCGTGATTGGCCGAAAACGAGTGCATATTCATGTAATACGGGTTCAAAGTTGTAGCTCATGTGCAAATTACAAATAGCACGCGCTGCCAAAATTTCGTCCGTCTTGACTTTCAGTGATGCGTTTTTCACGTAAATGTGCAAGTAACAACATGATTTCTCCTGCAATTTGGTGTTAATGAGAATTTCTAAATTTTTCAAAGGCTACAAATTGCACTTGCCCTATTTATGGGCTCGTGCCATTTTGTTGTCTTTGAAAATTTACTCCGGCTTGTTAACTGCAAATAATTAAATTACACGAGCAATTACGTTGCCTCCTATACCGTGTGTACTTAGCCTTAGCTCCCAATTACTGCGAGTCGACTTCTTATGTTAGCATACATAAAGTAACCAAAGACTTCCCAGATCAAAACAAGTGCAGAGTTAGTTGTGGATTACAAAAGGAGCGCACAATTCACGCTGATAAAATTTAAAAGAGGGTATGACTCACAATGAGAAGAGAATCAACTGGATACAGGAGGGTTTGATAGGTCTTGGTGGTACGTGATGAAACTAATCCAGGAACATGATCGTTAAAACGAGCTTGTGTTGCACGTGTGTAGTAAATTAAATGTGCATGTGTTAATTTTCTATCCTTTAAATTTTACGATAGTCTTCGTCGACAACTAGAGTTATGGCCATCGGGTTGAAGTAATTTTTTACGGTGGGTTTAGCGCGAGCGTAAAATTCAAAGAAATTCCCGATGATCACTTAACAAGAGTATACAAATAAAATCTTACGTACACACTCTTATCTAAAGAGTACCTCTCATTATAAAAGGGCCGACTTATATTAATGTACACAGGAAAATTCGGTTGAAATGTTCCTTAACATCAAAGAACTAGGCAAAATTTCCGCACAGCCCCATACATCATTATACTTCCATATATGGGGCTTTATTATTCAGTGTATCACCAGTAAGATGTACATGCATAATTAAGTATGGGGCTGTGCGGAAATTTTTCCAAGAACTACTGCGGAACCGATCAGAATATGTCCTTCGATCTTTCAACTACAGCTCGTAACAGGAGTGACCTCGATAAGCTGGAATTGTGCTGTCCTGATCAGCTAATTAACCCATATAGTTTTAGTTTAAACAATCATTTTGACGGATAGATGTCAAAAAAATGGTTAAACATTTTTAAGTTTCCTGTGATGATTATGACATTGGTACATTATTTTGGAAAATGTATTGAAAAAAAAAATTTTTAAATTAGTTGGCGTCCTCTATGGAACTACAAGTGTGGCAGTGGGGCATCCATTTGATACAATCAAGACAAAGATGCAAGCACAACGTGGATTCGAAACAGAAGGAATGTTCAAATCATTTGCAAAGACAGTCAAGACACAGGGAATCAGAGGGCTCTATAGGTATATTATGTACAAATCCTTTCTTGTGTTGTTATTGATCAATTGAAAGTGTACCATGGATCATTTGATGGCCAGTTATAGATAAACAAAAGCAGAAATAGTTAGCTCCCTTCAATAAAAGCATAGCTCATGTCAGTGTCCTGGTTTGTAAGCAAGAAAAGTTGCCCCTACATGGCTAAAATGTCTTGACTGTAAATATTTGGAAATCATATATGTGAACTGCAGATAAATAAATGAATATGGAAGCAATCTTTGCAGTTGTGGACACTACTCAAGCAGTACTGAAAATAATGCCTGAAAAATTCAGGTGTGCATGGAATCCCTGAATCTTTTTCAGGCATTATTTTCACCACTGCTTAATTAGTGTCCAATTAACTACAAAGATTGCTTCCATATTCATGGCCATTTTTCTTGTGCAGGATACAAAAACTATACCCCATCAGCAATTATTTTGAGAATTTAGTTTAAAGCTATTAATCATTATGGTCATTTGTTCAAAAGGGATTGGTATGTTATTTGAGTATCCAGTGATGGAGACGCGGTTTACATGGTGTGCTACTCTAATAGTTGCTAATAGTTGGCTTGTCCTTTTTCCCTGTATCACATCCAGCATAATCTCTGTTGTTGTTTGAAGTAGCAGTTTTTTCAAACTGCTAACTTATTGGTCCAGCATGTGTTGAAGAGAGAAACTGGCAATAACCCACTGGTTGTTTTAAAAACTTTCAGAGGATGTATTCCACCTCTTTGGGGATCTGGAATTTATAGATCAAGTCAGTTTGCTGTTTTTGAAGCCCTGTGAGTACATCATGGCATATTAAATGATTTTTGAAGGTTGAGTTACTTTATTTTCAACTTTCATTTCATATGCTTAGGGTTAGGCTTTCACTTCTAAGTTAATTGTTACTTTTTCACTTTTCCTCAAAGCTACACATATTTCAATGGATTTGGAAGAAGAGAAATCCCCTTTACTGGTGGATTACAATTGTGAGTAGAGTCAATTTTTTGGTAAGCTACGGGCCGCTAGTTTCTAGGAGATGTGCATGCTTTAAAACTACATTTAATGGATGGGATGGTGAACTCCAAATTGGGTGGTCCAGGTTTTTAGCTCAGTTGGATAATTTTTTAGTACTAGCTGTGGTGGAGATCTATGTTAGACTTGCCACTCTACACTCAGGACAACATTAAATAGGGGTAGGCCCAGCCAAATGACTGTTTTGGAAACTTGATAAATTGCTGGGAAGTACCAGAGGTCAGCCAGCATCCTTTCCAGGAAGAGTTTCAAATAATGCTTCAGGCTACAGAAACTGGGATAAACTCTGACTACAAAAAGGAGAAAATTTTTGGCTTTGAATATTGCAGAAGAGTGTTGATTGCAGGAGCAGCAGCCTCAACAACGAGAGCCATAATTGAGACTCCCTTGGAACTGGCAAAGGTAATGATTGGTCCACAACAGAGCTACAACATTCAATAATTAGTTATTCTTTGGTTACATTATTTTTTTTTAAGTATTCACAGTCAAGAATAATAAGTTACAATTCATGTTAATTAACAATTTAGGTGCGGAGACAAACTGGTCAGACATGGCAGTTCAGAGGACTCTACAGGGTAAGGTTGAATGGTTTAGTTTTTTTTATACTTGTAGATGTTAACATGAAGTAGACAACAAGTTTGATGATGGACTGAAATCTACCATCAAAAGCCAAAGTTTCTGTATATCAAGGAGAATTTGTTTACCAATCAAAAGCTTCTTTCATTCGTGATCATTTCCTTTATTCTCATGACCTTAACATGTGATTCAGGGTGATATTGTTGGGAGAAATTAGATGCTACTCTTGGGGTTTAAAGGGTTGACTTGTTCTCTCTCCGTTTGATCAATTAATTGGTTGATTAAGTATTATCAATTGAGTTATGACATAAATTGGCCACCATAAAGAGTTTTAAAACTTCTAAAGTTTAGAGTTAAACTTAGAGTTTAAAGTTAATGAAAACTTTTTAAGTTTAGAGATTTAAAACTCTTCACGGTGGCCAATTTACGTTATCAACTCAGTTAATAATACTTAACTCCCTTGTTATATTAACCACTTGATCAATTGGTTAATCTCCTTCCAATTTTGGCTGATTGTGATAGTAGTGAGAATTGAGAAAGTGATCAAGCCTACAATGTTGCTGGGACAAACTTTACATTCTCAGGAAATATATCATTTATAGTTTGGAGAATTAGCTTTAAGATCTTAGGATCTCTAAATTCAATTATCTTTGCCTTAGGGATTTGGTGTAACATGGTGTCGTACAATGGGACTGATGTGTACTTACTTTATACTTTTGGATTCTGGAAGACGACACTTTCCTGAACTTTTTAAAAGACCAATCCTAGGACCATTTCTATCATCAGGTTTAGCTGCAACGTATCCTTTGTTGATCTTCCTATAGCATCCATGTTGCTTTGCCATATAGGTTTCAGTTTCAGTGATTTTTGTGTCCGTATGAATGGAAGACAAAAACAGTTAACTGAAACTAAAACTTCTTACACTGGGATGTTTTCTTCAAAACTTTTACATGTAGACATTGATTTTTCATAAGAATTAAAAAACAATTCTGAGAACGCTTGTAAGTGAGTTAGTCATGTTGAAAAAGGGCGTGGGGTGTTTTTTGTTCCAACCGTTCATTTAACCTTGACTTTTGGTGGTTTTGCTTGGTGGGTTGTGTGGCCATTGGAGAACATGAAGTCTCAAGTACAAGGAAACTACGGCAAGTATGTACAAAGGAGTTTTTTCGTTTAATCGACAAGTTTCTAATTCTGTGCCCATGATCAATAGGAAATATTAATTCCCATAACTTCTCGTGAAAACGGAACACTGATCATGAGAGAGGCTTGTTTGGCCGGTATTAACAATGTCGATGTAACTCACGAACAATAATAGGTCAAAAGGTCACCGAAACTCTCTAAAGCCCAGTCACAATCACAAACGATGTGACATTTAAAAGTTAGGGAGGTCTGGAAGAAAAAAGAGAAGAAAAAGAAGAAGAAAAAAAAGGAGATCACTCCGAGTAAAGTACAAACTAAAACAATGAATGGAAAACTCGGAAGGCACGCTAAGTCATGTGATGTATCACCGAATCTCCAGCAAAAACCAGCTCGCTATCTCGGGGCAATTCATTTCTTTCAAATAAATTGAATTTTATAGGGTGTTTCTTCTGTTTGCAGTTGTAATAGGTTCACTATGTGTGTTTTATTTGAAGGGACCTTCCAGTTGTGGCTCGTATGAGACTGGTGATAAAAGAAAAGGGTGGATTCTTCGGGCTGTATCGTGGTATCGTGCCTGGCTCCATAAGGAGTTTTATGTCCAACGGAACATCTATGATTGCCATGAGCTGGGCCCAAAGAAAAGTGTCTCAATGGGGATTGAGAGGATAACGGATAGTTTTAATAAATCTGAAAAAATTGATGAATGATAGAAAATATAAAATAATTTCGATGTAATTTCAAGTTAAGGAGGTGTTTTTAACCAATGCAGTCAATTAAGTTGACTCTTTTTTATCGTTTACTGTTCTAGTTTTTGTGAAGATTTCCTCTTCCAGGGTGAAAGAAATTACCCAGTGTATTTCTCTTGTGTTCTTTATATTTCTTATTTCTTTCTGTTTGGTCTCAGACCATGATTGGTTTGCTTAGTAAACTTCATTGTAAAGCGCATTGATAATCGGTGGTGTGAAGTCAATTTCCGCCCGTTTAAGGAATCCTCACTCACTTGAGATGAAAATTTTGTTACTTCAAGGGAAGCGTTTAGAAAAAGCACCGGCTTTCGAGTTTACTTTTCATTTCTTGTTCTTTATGATTTTTTGCCGAGTTGTCAACTTTTTAACCTCGTCATTTTCCATTTTTTTCCATTCCGCGATGCGATTTCTTTCTTTGTTCAGGATTCACTTTTAGGTAGCTCAAAATGCGGTCACTTCTCTCTACTTGTTGTCTTCACGTTTCAAAATCCACAGGAATTGCTGTCCGTAGACGGAAAATAATCTCAAATAAGGTGTTAAGATATTTTTGTCATATTTAAAGACCGTGGACTGTAGGTTTCTATGTGGCTCTCATTTTAAAGACGGTATAAAAACGTTAGGGAAATTATTTTTCTGGTGGTGTGTAAATATGTAAACTAAATTATATACTTGTGAATGATAAGAAGATCACGAATAAAAAAATTTCAAGCATCTAACGTTGGAATGGTTTTTAAAGGAAAACCAAGCGAAGAAAATTTTGCAAAAACACTACCATGGTACAATAAGCATTTTTGACTTTTTCAGAAATAAATGCATCATATAAAGCCCGTCCCCTGCATGCTGGGTAACGTTTCAGGATAAGTCGCATTTCATCTTGCATGCATGGTGTCGTAGCACCCAATACTGCCTAAGTGATTCTGGTTTTCGAAATGGTCTTATGTGTGGATCGGATTTCCTCCCCAGTCAGGTGAACAAGCATTTTTAGCGGGAAATAAACGTTTTTTAAACCTTTGAAAGTGTACTGGGCACTCCCTATGTTAAGCGGACTAGCCAAATTTAGTCGAGACCTGGGAACTAAACTTTGTTCCAGTACTACCCGGTTAATTCACCGGACTGCCGCCATCTTTGCACTACTTGTAAACATGTCGGAGGCTGAACAGAACACAGTAGTTATTGCGGTGGACGGAAGTGAGCACTGCAAAAAAGCTTTCGATTGTGAGTTGAAAAGAAATTATTTGTACTTGTTTGTTATAGATTTACCGCGAATTTCAATTTTTGTGGTCAAAGGTTGAAGATGGCCAAAGGGGCATGTTTTTCTTGGTCACGGGATACTGGGCCCGCGCCTTTTTGACAAGTTTTAGAAGACCTTTCGTTAGTTAGTGGGACGACGTTTCCCATCATAACTTTCTGAAAAACGCCAGAAAAAATGTAGGAGTCGGAAAAAATGAGGGTATCGTTAAATGTTTATGAATGTCAACAAAAGGTGAGACAGTTTTAACCCTCTCAGTTAATGTTGAATATAGAAGTTTAACATTTGGAAGATCTTTCAATGGCCACTCTGATGAGAATATGTTGGTTTTTCGTGGAGAGGATTTGATTACTGTGTTTTCCTTACCTAAGGGCAAAAATCTCCATTCCAAAAGATATGGTGGAGAAAATGGTCCTCAATAGGGTTCTTTAAGGAGAGTAGTCTTCAAACAAGAATATGGATGACATATTTAAGGTTGAGGTTCTTCTAGTTTTTTTCTCTTAAATACTTAAGTCTACATTTTTTTTGCACTTAGAGTGGCATGAAATATGTTTTTGATTATTGTTTTTCAGCACCTATGTAACCATGTATATGAAGTTGATTTAATTAAGAATTTTGTGATCTCACTAAAATAGCTTTTTTTAACAATTTTATCATTGATTTATTAATTTAATCCTAAATTCAACCCAATTTGTTTTAGGGTACTGTGACAATTTGCACAAGCCTGGTGACAAACTTGTTTTTACACATGCTATTGAAATGGAGAAAAGACCTGTTGTTATGCATCCTTGTAAGTTTAAAATCCATCTCTTTTACATGTGAGGCAATGTCTTGATGACATTAGCACAAATAGAAAAAAACTAATGTATTTTATATTCATAGTCTCCTAGATATATCTTTTTATGTGATTCATGATTACTATATACACCCTTTAACTGCAGATGGGATGGCATTTCGAAACAATTACATGTCATGGCTTGGGAAAAGTCAAAATGAGACAACAGAGATTTTGGAATCATTTGCCAATACATGCAGAAACAGGAAGGTGATATGAAACAATCTTTACAAACACTTCAGATTGCTGATATTGCTCCACATGTATTCAAATAACAGTTACAGAAGCTTTGAGAGGGCTATCCATAAGTCTGCCATCAATTCCTTACAAATTGACTACAGCAAGTACTTCTTGATAGTTGAGTTTCCAAATAACTTGTAAGTTGCTGTTTTCAATTTTCATATGTCTTTCCTTTTTTTTTTTTTTTTTTTTTTTTTTTTTTTTTTTTTTTTTTTTTTCATTGTTGGTATAGAAAGAAACTCTACCCTTTAAAAAGGGTACAGAAAGGGTTTACAAGCAAGCAGTAACAACAGAACCTGAATGTTTCATTAACAGAATTTTTCATTTAGCTTTAAAATTTGACAGGTTCTAATTCTTGCTGATTTACTGGATTGTTCTTAATATTCAGAAATACATTGCTGTGGAAAGAAATCTCATATTTAACTGAAAATGCTGCAAAAATTAACACCCTTAGTCCCAGAAAGAAACTCTCAGTGATGGGGCAAGGAGTAGGACTATTGTTTTTTTTAAAATGTCATTTGATTCTTTTAAGGGAGGGGGGGGGGGGGTAGAGTAAGTCTCTTTGGGCAGTGAAGTATCCCTGGCTAATATTTCATTCAGTTAAATGTGTCTGTGATCAACTCCTCATCAAATCCTTCAACTAAAGTCATAGACTCTTTTTCTCATACTTTAAGAAATATTTATACTTTTATACTTATGCCCTAGCTTTATTTGTTTGTTTCCTAATCATAGTTTGCTCTCTGTTTGTAGTATAACTTCAAGCTGATTTCAGAAATTGGCAAAGCTGGAGAGGTTATTTGTCATACAGCCAATAAAGAAAATGCAAGCCACATAGTGATGGGAAGTCGAGGATTGGGCACTGTGCGGCGGACGCTGTTAGGAAGTGTTAGTGACTATTGTCTTCATCATTCTCCTGTCCCTGTGTCAGTGGTGCCTCCCACAAGCAGCCCTTAATAATGCACTTATTTAAAAAAAAACTGTCAAGACGTGTTTAATATTTTGAAGTGTTCAGGTTCATAAGGGAACTTGTGTAGTGGAATATTATTATCTAATCTATGAGTGTGGCCCATACACTGTAGTTGAAAAAGAACATGGAAGACTCCAAAGTGGTTAGAACATCATTAGCGCAGGAGCCGAACTATGTTCTTGTCGCATTTTGCCGTCACCCATAACCTTTAACTGAACATACGCATGGCAAAATGGAATATATTGGTGCAACCTTAAGCATCAGATGGTAATGGATGATGTATGAGCAAATTGATAAAACTGAGTAATACTGAAAGAGGCGTTGTTTGATTTTATAGGAAAACGCCCAAGGATAGATTGAGGGTAGATTTTTTTCCCTAACTTTTGTTGCGAATATTATTGTTTCTTGCGTTGTTGTCAAAGTAATAACCAGGAAGATTGACAATTTTAACGTCTGCAATCTATGTGCAAAGGCGATTTCCAAGTCTTTCTCATGTGCTGCCATCGTGTAGATTTTCGTATAGCATTTACCAGTCACGATAAAATATGCTTACCGAGAAAATAACATGATGTGTCTTTTTATGTTAAGAAATGTTTGTTAAGATTTGAAGAGGATTCCGCGGCAAAAACAAGCCATTCCAACAATCGATGCAGAACTTCATTTATGAAATTATAGAGCTGTTACAAAGAAATATCAAGTTGTTCAAAAAGCGTAAGAGTTCTTACCTTACCACTTATTTCACTCCAGCTTTGAAATAGCTCCGTTCTCAGTATCTCCGTTCGCACAAAAACACCAAACCAGCGTTTTCCGGTAAAGTAAACAATTTATCCGGATTAGAGAGAACGGTGGGTAAACCGTGGAAATAAAATTGTGTTTTTAATTTTTTCAGCCGCGGGGCTTGAGATTTCAAGTGTGCGCGCGCTCACCCTCTATGACACAATGGTTGTATAATATATTAATCACCTTATCAGCATGGAAAACAAAGGTTTGTCTGATGCGTGAAATCATTTGTTGTTTCCTCAGTTCGGACCATTGTTTTTTATTTTATTATTTAGTATTATTTGCACTGTACCTCAAGCTGCCCTTTGTAAAGCTTTGAAAAATCTGAAATTCGTTGATGCGAACCGAAAATCAAATTCGGTTTGTGTATTTTTCAGAGTCTAATGTCAAGAGAGCAAATTCGATGAAAACTGAAAGCCAAGTGCAAACTTTGGAAACAAAGGTAGAGTTAACCAGTAGAGCACAATCAGGTTAGAAAGAATCGCTTTGAGGAAGAGCTAACGCCCGAAACGTCAGCCTTTAAACTCTTTACGGTGGTCAATTTACGTTCTCAACTTAGTTGTTAACACTGAATTACCTGTTATACTCTCCCACCGACGCAGCACCACAGTTTCTTTAGAAACTTACCACCCTTTAGAAAGAGAGAGATTTGTCACCATCTATATATCGGGAATTTCAACCCTCATGCTGTTTGAGGGAAACGATTTCATTTCAACGATGGTAAATGTTGATAAATTAAAAATATTGCATTTAAAAAAACCGTAGGTTATAATTTCTTTAGTACCTCATATTTGACCAACTTTGCACCATAAAGATGGCGGCAATTTTCTGTAAACGTAAAGCTTACTAACGTTCCATGGGAGTCTGCGCAAATAAGCCCGGCCTGCTCAGTGATTCAGAGTCGAAAGTGTCTACGTCTTCCACATATGGGATATTTCAAATCGGTGTTATTTAAGTTCAGCTAATGTTTCACTTTTCTGCTCACTGTATGGACTAATTTGCGCTCCTTTATTAACGAGCATTCGTAGAGGGATCCTCCTAGAAAAAAAAACACTTAAAGATGGGAATCTAAATGTCAAGTATTTTTGTAAAGATGCTTTTTTTTATATCAGTTTCCTGTTGTTGATTCGCGGGGCAAAATTCTGCTGCCCCCAGCAGAACTACAGGACGGATCCTCAACACCAGTGTACGCCAACCCTCGGCAGGCTTTGAGGATTCTCAAACGGAGGGAAACAAAACGAAGACTTGCATTGTCAGGAAGAGTAAAAGTCTTTCACAGACAGGTACGTGTTCTGTCGTAAAGGAACTATGTTTAATCTTTTTCCAAAGTGTGTTCATCAATAGTTTCACTTGTAATTTCACAAAGTGAATTATGAAATTGCATAGGAAAAAAAAATTTTAAAAAAATACATCTTTGAACCAATTTGCAGGGAAAGAGGAAAGCTAAAAGTACGACAGATGACAGGAACACCTCCTTAGAATATACAGAGACCCAACAGATGTCTATGGAAAATTAACTTGACTGTTAACTGGTAATTTAACTCTATCGTCTGTGATTAAAAAGGGAAAAGAAAAGAAATTTGTGTTCACTAGCGATATTCAAACATAGCTTTGCCGAAAGCAACAACGCAGAGTCAATATCCGTTATCGTTTTACGATTTCCGTTCTTTCTCTAAAGCACACTCTGAGCGATTATTGAAGTCTATTTCTCTTCCCGTTATCTGAGATTTGGTTCATGTTTAGCATGAGTTATGGGTGCCAGTGGGAATTTTTGAGAGCACGAGAGAAGCGTAAGAGTTTCTCAAGGCGCAGCAGAGAGCAACTCGAGGTTGTATGGTTGTATCACAAGTATCGTGTGCTCCAAAGCTAATCAGTTTCCGGCGTCGCTTGACAGAGCTACATGTTCATTGTCTTTTGATTCGAGTTTTATTTTAGCATATTTACTGTTTCGTTTGAGTTGCAAAAGGTTCATTTCAATCGGGACGTACCGTAAAAACAATCATGAAGAGTTTGGAACCACGCGGCTAGACTCATCAGGAACTTTGCAGCTGAAATGATACTGTGCTGCAAACGTCATGTTGTGCACACATGGCCATGCGTCATGCACCATCAGGTAGGTCTTGCGCCATCAAAAATTACCCCCTTTGAAATCGATATAATTCGACGATTCGGTTGACTCCACCCCCATCCACCGGCAAGAGCGAGATAATTCTTCAGACGAAAGGAACATCAAAAAGTCCCACTGAAATTCAGCTGTCAGCTATAAGCCTTGTAACCAAAGAGAAATTATGTTGGACTGATAATTGACAAAAATTCATCGGCAGTGGGTAAGCGCGGACGAATATTTAAACATTTTAAGTTTGATTGTTTGTCTGTTTCCAAGGCGCGTTAAAGAAAACGGAAATATATTCATTATTAATCGTCACAATAAAGTTGGTTAAATACGCCAGGAAAGAGAAATAAACGAGTTTAATTAACTTTTCTCGCTCCTTTTAAGCTTCTTCCTTCTTTCAGAGTTGAGAGTCTGGGTGCGTGGTTGTGGAGTACAGAAGTTAATTGATGAACACATTTATGACTTCCCCCTCCCGGCAAATTGTTGCAGATTAGTTTGCAGCTTACGCATGCTCTAACACTTATCGACACAGAAAGGGTTATAAACTATTTATATTTAACTATAAAAAATTGCGATAAAACATTACTTAAAAACATTTTAAGATTGCTAAAAACGACGACATTTCGACGTTGGCTAAACGCCATTATCGAGTCAAAAAAATATTTGTAAGTTGCAGTCTATATATACCAAAATAACAACGGGTGATGAAAAGCTATGCCGTAAGAAAAGAACAATAGTAATTTTAAAAAAAATTTTAGCACGTATGGAGTCCTGAAACTCAAGTTTACCGAAAACAAGCAAACACTGGTTTGCTCTTAGACTTCTACAGTCACACCGATAAACGCTCTAGAGACTCTTTATTAGAGGCAATGATGCACCGACCTATGCCCTACCGTCTACCACAGAGGCTTTTAATGCAGAATGTGTCAAATTGCGCTCTATTTTCAGTCGTCTTAACTACCTCATGGGCCTTATTGATTCCGCCATCAATAATTTTCGTTTTAGAAATGCGCCGGCAGGCACAGTAGAAAGGAACACCGATGATAGAAGTACAGTAAGAATTAGTCTTCCATTCAAAGTAGCCCCTAATGCGGTTGGGAAGCAGTTGCTCGATCTCGGCTATAAGATTCTCCCTATATTGCAGCCTGTTTTTGTGAGCAAGAAATTGGGGAAAGATCTTAAACCCAAAGAAATCAAGCTGTCAATTGTGAATCGACAATGTGTTGTTTATCGTTTCTCTTGTGATCTGTGCGATGCAGATTATGTCGGGTACACAGTCCGACACCTTCATTAACGCATTGCTGAGCACAAATATTCGGCAATCGGTCGAAATTTCGTGGAAGCTCACGGTAGCAACCACCTCTTGAAAGAAAACCAATTTAGAGTTTTAAGAAAGTGCCAGAGAAATTTTGATTGTTTAGTCTTTGAAATGCTGTTTATCAAGAATCTCAAGCCTAATTTAGATATCCAGACGGACTCCATACGTGCCAAACTTTTTTTTTAAATAACTATTGTTCTTTTCTTACGGCATAGCTTTTCATCACCCGTTGTTATTTTGGTATATATAGACTGCAACTTACAAATATTTTTTTGACTTAATAATGACGTTTAGCCAACGTCGAAACGTCGTCGTTTTTTAGCAATCTTACAATGTTTTTAAGAAAAGTTTCATCGCAATTTTTTACAGTTAAATATTTTTCTTAATCACTTCTTCAGAAGCATTTATAAACTGAAATAAATACATCTTCGTTTCACTTAGAGAAGACAGATTGATGACTGATGACGCAAACGCTCTGGTTTTCAATTTTCAATTTCTTGCCAGTCAGGTGAGGAAGAATATTATTTTCTTTATCACTGCTGGTAAATTAGAATCCTTATAACTGAGGGTTTCTGCATCAGAAGGCAACTAAAAATAGTCAATTTGTCATTTATTCTCTTGACAAAAAGAAAGAAAGAAAGACGATGCTAGTACTGCCAGTATTCAGTTAAAATTAATTTCTTAATTATTTTTCTTTTGGAAAAAACCCCTCTTCTGTTAATTATCTGAGATATATCGTGCAATCTTTTCTTGGGAGATTGAAAATAAACAAAACTATCTCAAAACCCTGATCGCTGGGTCCGCATCTTGCAAGATGGACACAGCTGGACAGTGAGACAGGAATATCTTAAAGCTTCATAAAACAACTCCATAAACATATGGAAAGGCCAGTTTATATGATTAACAGTATAACTTTTGTGAAGTAAGAAGAGAGACAAATGAACCATCGAACTGACGCAAAAAAGTGAAATGGAAATTGCCGATAAACGATCGTGAGGCATCTTTCATGGGTTAATCATGATGAACGAATCGTTTTGTGCCGGCCTTCTGCAGTCTCGCCTCGCTCATTCTGACTTGAGAGAGCTTCGCACGACTTTCATTGTTAACTGTGTCTTCAATAATTTTTCAAATTATACCACTATCATGTTCAACATTGTAACACTGTATGCCATGCGAAAAACTTCATCTTTGCCAAGGACTTTGAAAACTTTGCTGCTAAGTCTTGCAGTTTCTGATGTTGGAGTCGGTTTATTTGTTCAACCATTTTACACTTTCTCTCTGAGCAAGTGGCTTCAACTGGACAATCCAAGCTGCAACGCTTACCGAGCTTGGATTATTTCATGTCTTTTGTTTTCATCTGCTTCGTTCCTTGGTGTTGTGGCTGTAAGTGTAGACAGGTTTTTAGCAGTTCATCTTCATCTCAGACACCAGGAGCTTGTGACTCACAAGCGTGTTGTAATTGTTGTGGCCTCCCAATGGGTGTCCAGTGTATTTTTTTCGTTAATAATATTGTGGGGATCGTTTTTTATGAGGAAGCTCATTACTGTAGTTTTTTCAGCTATTGGCTTTATTCTCACATTTGTGGTGTACGTCAAAATATATTTAATTGTTCGACGGCACAAGAATCAGATTCAGTCCGAGCAAGTAAAAGAAGTTGCTCAAACTGGGGAAATGACAAATTTTGCTGCCCTCGTTAAATCCACAGTTGGTGTATTTTATGTATATCTGGTGTTTTTAGTTTGTTATTTGCCCTTTACCATCGGCATTGCTGGTTTTAGAACCAGTGACATGAGTTTCCTTTTTACAGATTTTTATCCATTCTCTCTGACTCTCATGTATCTTAATTCATCTTTGAACCCTGTCATTTACTGCTGGAAGATGAGACACATTCGACACGCTATCGTGGACATACTTCGGAACATCTCTCGCAGAAGAAATCATCCATCTCGCGTAATTTACAATCGGTCGTCAAATGTCGCCCATGTCTATACCTGAACCCCCTCTCGACGACTAACAAAGAATTTTAGTACTTTGATCTTGAAATAGTAGATGAAGAGGGACAGGAATGAACTTATGCTTAGAAGAACTGACATGATAACAGCATGCATAAACGTCGATTGTATACGTGCGGAACCAAGGACAACGCATCCGTCGATGATATTTTTTGTAGTATTTACGCCGTTAAACTGGATAAAAAGGGACAGAGATACAGAGATAACAATAGATGTTTGTCGCTCGTTTAACACTGGACAGAATACCAAATGGAATATTTGCTATCTAAACGGCTGTCACCCCCCCCCCTCCCCCTCCTCCTCCCTCAGCATTTGAATTGGCTGTAAATTACAGCCGATAACCTTTCAGTATCGCAAGATATTTTTCTCGTTTTGCATGATATTTGCGTGGTCTACCCACCTTCTAGTATGTAGTTAGTTAACTAGTGTTGACACGTGGAGAAAAGAAATGTTCCTGGAATTAAATAAACTTCATATATCGGAAGACTTTTAAAGATTAATTTGCAATAAATGAATCGAAATTACTCAAATTAATAGAAGCTCATTAGTTAGTTAGATAAATAGCTCTTGGCATTCCTACTTTCTTATAAAATGTCAGTTGGATATGTTAACGAATAAATTTGCCTTAATGTTTGAAAACTACTCTTATTGTTTCTCATCAAGTGCATCAGGAGAAGTCGGAGCTCACAATAGCATTTTTGAGCGCAAATTAGTCTTACTGAATTAGTCTTCATACTTACAGTTTGGTGCAGGTTTTCAGTGGGCAAGTATCGATGATACACTGAACTGGCAACAATTGGCCTTCGGTTGCTCAATGCTTGTCACAAAACCAGAAATTAACTTAGTTTCTTGTGCCATGTGACGTTGCTAAGCTCACAAAGCCGAATAGCCGGCGAAATAGAAAACCAGAAAACTGGTTATTCCGGCTTTAATTCAATAATTCCGATACGCCAGAGGACCCTAGAGTTTAGTATCGAGTAATATATCTTCATTTTTATTTCGTGGAAACTGTCCCATTATCAGTTATTCACGCACGAAGCCTTCTTCTGTCCGCGTGTGTTTACATGGCCCCGAAAAACATAAAACCCCA